ACATATATACAGATAATAATATAAACATAACCCTATCTTGGTAGACCTAGGGCTTTCGGATGACATGATGACGTGGTTTTTAGGGTGGCTTTCGGGATTGTTTTGGATGGTTTAGGGAGGCATCTATGCTTACTATATGCCCAAAGAGAAATTCCTTGGAATTTGGCTCCCAAGTTGTATCCTGCCTTAGCCCTTTCGAATTGGCCGGATACCTCGAGATCATCCTCGAATCCGAGTTCAACTTGGTTAGAAAATTTTGCACGAGTAACCACTGTGGATGTCACGATACTCCTTTCGATTTTTTAAAGGGATAGCTCGGGTATAGAGCTTTTGTGCATGAATGCATGATCTAAATTGCAAAAATATAACTGCGCAAATAAGTAGTAAACATCCAACACGTAATAGATAGTTAGAAAAACTTATTGAACTTCGTTATATAGCTCAACTATCGAATTCCCAAGCAGAGTCGCCATCTGTCGCAACCGTCCCTCGGGTCGAGGTCACGTTCGCTCTTGGAGTCGTCATCGATCTTACTTGGAGTGGATCGAACACTCTCCGAACGGCTCTAATATTAGGGTCAGAACCGAGACTTGGTCTCCGATTTAGAGATATGAAAATCTAGGTTCGGGAGTACGGTTACGTGTGGGGAAGTGAAATCACACCCCGCAACGCCCAAAATTGGTACTACTTAAGTCGATAAGTTTTTATACGAGTTGGGTGTATTTTAATAATTATGTATTTTTGGGTCCCACTGGACCATTAAGGGATTTAAATTGTATTAGTTTACGATTTAGTTACACGCCCACTAACGTATAATTTAAAGATAAAGTTAGTTGATTAGTTGGACTTGAACCTTATCGATTGCCTACGTACACGTAATACGGGATCAAAGTCTATGTAATTCGTTAAAGTAGCTTTGGTATTTTAGTTTTCATATAAATAATTTCATTAATAATATTTAAATAGATTATTATGAGATTTCTGAAGATAATATATAAGAATTTTAAATCGCGAAGGAATGGTTGACCTATTAGGAAAGAAACAAAATTAACCTAACTAAGGGATTCTCCTGCATTCAAAATTTCGTACTAAGGTTAAAAAATAATATAATTGTGCAGATAGCTCAACTTAATCAATTACGGCTGCCTAGCCCACTGGCTAAAACGCATGCCGCTAGACTTGCATACACTAGACGACCCGGGTTCGAAACCCGGTATACACCTTATTTTTGTGATAAATTACAGAGATAAAGCGGGGGCATGGTGGTAATTAGCTAAAATCACGGTGACGATGGTGTAATTTCAGCAAACCCAGTGAACTATAAAATCATCTCTTTATATGAAAATGAAACCCTTATCTGCCTAACACTAAGCCTAGCGACGCCGCCGCCTCACCCTCACCTCTCTTGTTCTCTCCTCTTCTCGTTCCCTCTTCTCTCCTTGTACGAACGATGAAACCGAAAAAAAATGAAGAACAATCGCCCTATTTCTAGAAAAACGAATCCCTAACCCTCTCCTCTACGCCGATAGAAATCGAACAAAAGCATGAAGAAAAACGAATCCCTAACCCTCTCTCGATTCTCTACTCCCTGCTCCTATTTCTAGAAAAATGAATCCCTAACCCTCTCCTCTACGCCGACAGAAATCGAACAAAAGCATGAAGAAAAACCCTTTATCCTTTTGTCTCTCTGTTTGCTTTTCTGGGAACGGCGGAAATCGGAGAGGGTGCACCGCCGTGACAATGGTGACATACACCGCCGGTGACGATGGCGAGACGATCTAATCCTTTGGTAAGCCTCTCATTAACATGCATGTTTATTTTGAGGTTTTCTAATTCGAAACGGGATTCTGATATATATTTGTTCTTCTGGTTTTTTGGTTTCGAACGAGGGGAAAAGGAGGAGGGAAGAGACCATTGGCGATGACCAGACCAAGCGGCGATCGATGGTAGGCTCGGATCTAGTTTTTGTGTTTAGGTTTGTGTAATTTATTTGTATTTTTGTTCTAACCTAATTTTACTCTATTGCAGATTTTCTAGGATTGAAGAAACTAGGTGATATCCCTCTAAGCTCTAGACCTCTTTTGCTCGATCGGATGCTAAGGACCTAGGATTTAATTATTTTGCTAAAAAACGTTTTATTGGGATCCTTTGAAAAGCACTTTCTTTATTAGGTTTTTACTTTCTAAAATTCATTCCAAGCTAACCCAAAGGCCATAGCTACTGCTCATGACCATCAGATTGATAGGAAGTTTCTATCCGAACTCGGGTCATATCCACTGCTTATGACGATCATATTGATGGGAAGCTCTCTTCCGAAATCGGGATTTGATAAAATAGTTGATTTTGAAAAATCTGTATGTTCGTCAAATCTAAATATGTTGTAGTGTGGCTTTATTAGACTTGGGTCTAGAGATACAAAACGTAAAAAGCGGCAAAAACGGTTTGTAATTACCAAATTTTGGTAATTGGGTAAAAAAGGGGTGCCTTTAAACACAAAAAGAGGTATTCTAAAATACCTCTTATGGGACTGTTTTGAATTCTATTTTCTGTTTTGAATGGATTGTTGGATTATCTTTACTGTGCTTTAGTTACTATGTTACTGGTATATGAAAGAACAAGTGGACTAACCTAGCTTATTAGAGCACTAAGTTTAGCTAGCAACTTAACATGAATTATACTTGCTAGAAAAACTGGAAACCATCCAATCAGATTCATGGCATGCGAGTGATAACAAAGAAAACCCGTCTGTTTGGGGTAAGAAACCCCTTATATGATATGCTTTTACTGTTCCTTCTTTTGTGTTGGCTGATCCTCATTTGATCTTGAAGTGGTGGCCTAATCCACCCATTGTGATGACAATTTTCTGTTGGTTTTTGGAGGAGGTGGCCATATTGCTTCTTTTAAGAGGTGGCAGTAATTTTCTGATGTTCCTGTGGATGGGATAAGGACGATGGGGTTGGTTGATTGTGTCGACCAGAGTTGACCTTGGTTGATTTTCGTTGACCGGATTGGACTAAGGAGATGGGCCGAATGTCATGGGCCTGAATTGGATTTATGGTTTGAAAATTGGGCCTAAGTGTGGGCTGCTGTTTTGGGCTGGTTTCTAACGGTTTTCTTTTTATATTTTTTTTTACAAGGTCCTTGGTCTGTTTCTGGCCTAAAATGATGATCTAAGGAGGACCAAAAACCCCAAAAGGTTAGGCCGCCAATTCTAATTGGTGCCCACAAAGAAGAAGTATTTTCTTCTTATTTAATTTGGAATTCTCTTTTTATCTTTTAAATGTAATAATTATTTAGTGTATCTTATGATTTGTATTTTGTAATTGCACCTGTAATTATTCATGATGTAATTATTGAAGTGTATGCCCAAATATTCAATTGATACTTTCCAACCCAATTCACTCCAATCTAAACAAAATCAAGTTATAATTAAAATATTCCCAACTAAGGGTTACCGACCAACTTCGTACCAATTAAAACATTCCCAATCTAAAGGTTACCGTTACCACATTCCCAACTAAGGATTATCTATCAACTCGACCAATTTCAAACCAAATATTGTAGAATTAATGCAACTTGGAAATCATTGGCATTTATTGATTTGCAACTGCATATATCAACCAATTTTATCCAAACTTCTACAACAAGTCGTCCTTTTGAGTTTTAAATAAGATTTCCTTTTCAGTTTCAGGTAGGATGGTTGCTCTTGACAAAATGTGGTGTCTAGACAGTCTACAAACATTAGTCCCTCTATTACGGCCGCCATTGCGTATCGATGCGTATGAAAATTCATTGATTTTAGGACCCGTTTTATTTCCAATGATTCCCGGACTGAAACCATCGTCTCCTGTAATCAAATCAAAAGAACAGTTATGCTGATTATGACCAATACGTCTATAACGAAAGCATACCGTCTTTACACCCTTGTATATGAGAAAGACCAGAAGGAGGCCTGTGTTGGAGAGGAGTCGATACGTCAATCAAAACTTTAGCTTTGAAGACGCATCCCGGGCTCTCCCAAACCGCATACATAGCAGCGTCCTCCACGCTGCCTAGTCTCGAAGCCAGCAGCATGCCAAGAGCCACTGTTCGATACTCTTCTGGCATCTCCCAGAGTTGCATTATATATGGTACCCTTGCCAATTCCTGGAATAGTTCTTCTAAGGGAGCCTCCCACTTCTTAAACGTGAAGATATTCGATTGAATGAACCATCGAGCCTTGCAAGTGCGTCGTCATAATCAGTTTGATTTGCAAAAACGATCTGGAAGTGTCTGAATCTGACATCCAGAACTATGATAGCTGCTCTTTTGGCCCAGATATTATTGGACATGTGTTGTGCTCGGATTCGGGATGAATGGATGTTAGAAGCACATTTCATACCACCTAGCTTGTTACAAGAGAGAGTAGACGCCGACTATAGAGATCATGGGGACGCTCGATCGCTAAGGTCAATCAGAGCAAACTTAGCCACTTAGACCCACAAACTTGTCTTTTTCGCAATCTGTGGTGATGGGATGAAGGAGGCGCACAAACAAAGAAGAAGTCGGGAAAAAAGAGATGATGTGAGGGGTAGAGGGCGACAGGTGAAAAGAGAAGAGGGAAGATATGTAAGGGTTTAAGTTTTTGTTTTTATTCAATTAAATTCTCTTATGTGGACAAATATGTCCCCTCACTTCTAAATTTTGAAGCTTTAAAAAGATACTCTACTTCGACACTTGATCCGGCTCAGTGTTTATCAGCAAATAGTAAATCCTACTGAGTGTTTCTTTAACTGCCAACCATCATATATAATTTCCAACAATTGTTTTTTCCTTTCAAAATTGCATGTTGATAAATCTACAGATATAGAAATTCATTTCTGACAATTGAAGCTTTTCAAATGCTTTCTTTTCAAAAACTAAAAAGATTTGTGCGGATAACATTTAACACAAAATTTGACAAATCGAAAAAAATGACCAAAACCCTTCAATAGGCCTCTTATCCAACTCCCAAACTCAAATTACTTGCTAGCATTGTATTAATCTATCCGATTCCAATGCCTCATTCATATACACGGGGAAAGAAAGAAGTACAAGAGGTAATACTAATCATACTTCCTGAATAACAAGACTTGAATAATAACACTTCCTATATCCGAACAGAAGGAAGAACCTCCTACATAAGCTTAAGATTATACTTCGGATGTGGTATATTATGTCTCAAATCCCTATCTTTCTACTCATGCGGCTTAGGCCAAAATTCTGCTAAGAACAGTGAAATGATGTGGAAAAAAGTATCTAAAACCTAACGATCAAAGCAACTTCCACCACTCAACCATCAATCTTCAACATCGCTTCCATCATCATGGCTCCATGTATTCGGTCCCAGCACTTGAAACCTGAAGATCAACAAAGACTCAGTTCTTCAATCGCAGAAGAAAATCAAACCGTCGTTAAACGTACATACTATCAAGGGGTAGTTTCAGGGTAGCAATTGCCACCTCTCCAGGATGAATTTGCCTACTTTGTACTGTTGGGACTCCTCATGTGCAGCTTCCTGAAATAGTAGTTCAGGAGTAATCGTGTGAAGCAAAGAAGGTTGTATGAGTTGGATTAACAATCAAAATGATTCAAGGAAAAAAAAACAGAGAGTGTTTACATATTTCCAGCCTACGATTGAGCCACAACCAACGCAAAAAATATCTACGACAGTGTGCATTCCAGTGAGCATGTTTCGCTCTTCTTTCTCCCCAACCATGACATTCACACTGTCATCATGGACAAACCAACTAACCATTATGCTAGGAACTGTAATCGCAAACATGGAAATCAATGACAAGTTGCATACGACCTAGCTAATGACAATGCATTCCCACGTTTCAATCAATTTCAGCTGCACATTTTCAAGCGAGAAATACTTACACCTTATCGAAGAGGTAAGCTTCTCCATGCTTGCAAAGGAATCTCTGCAACATAGGCAGCACAGTAGATTAGACTGGCATCGATTGCCCATAAATAAGAACCATATTACCTACCCACAGCTTCCCCAATCATACCACATGTCAGGCATACTTGCGAAACCATAAGTAAGGCACAATGGAGAATGACAATGGCGAACGAAATTAACTTAACAAGTTACCAGCATTAAAAGAAAAACAGGGTCCAACCAGAGAATCCGTCTCATGTTTACCCAAGCACAAGAAATCGCTAGGGAAAGGGAAGGAAAACCTTGGAAAGGATATCTTCGAAAAGGGCGAGATGAGTGTGGCAGTACTTGCAGCTGTAGACGTTTCCTTCCAGATCGAGCGTAAATATCCTCCCCATTTTGGACAATTGCAGATGCTTCTTCTTCTTCTACAACTCGCCTTGAATCTCAACTGCGAATTACCCACACAGAAGAAGATTGCGGTATAAATAAAGAAAGTGGGAGCGCAACAAGAAGAGCGAAATCTAAGGGGGAACGATCGATCCCGTATTTGGGCGCTAATCAAAACTACAATGCCGAAACAAAATTGCTCGCTCTTGTTGGTTGCAACCGCTCAAACAGAGTGAGCCGTGGGGGAATAAAAAACAGATGGAAGCAAAAAGAGCGAGCGAGAGAGAGAATTGCCGATTCCAGCCGATTGATTTGATCTTACCAGAAGATGCCAAGGCGCGGAGAGTTGCGGGGACGTCTCAATCTCTAGTCCCTCCTCCTCCTTCACTCCTTCTTTTATAGGAGTTTGTCACGCCGTTGGTGTGTGAGCCAATTACGAACTCTGGACTACCTACTCTAATATTAATTAACTTATTATTTATTATACTCCAAACTTTTTCACCAAGAAAGTACAACACACAAACATTCTTAAGTAGTAAGTTCTAAAAATGAAAGAATAAAAAAAACGTATTGGAGTTTGTACAGAAAAATTAACGCTAAGGTATTTTATGCTGAAACATGGTTTAACAATAGTTCAACTGTGATTCAAATGTTTTATACCGCTAAAAACTGCTTACTGATTTAAACTCCAATATGAGATCTTTTCAAGCGGGCCGCCAATATGGTTTCACAATCCGTACTAAAAATTCACCCATATATTTTTTCTTTGAACCTTAGTCAGCACTCAGCAAAGTGGTCAATTATGCATTAGATCCATGGCCACTGGAGAAGGTGAAAGAACTTTATTTTTTACAAGGGAACTACTCAATTCGAATTTGAAGCTTTAACACTTTCAAATCTCTTTAAGAAATAAATTATATGTTATTGTTTTCTATATGCGACTCAATGTAATCTTAACATAAGAGGAACACTAGCAATATTCCTTGAATGATGATATTTAATTCCATGTCGAATGAAACATGACGTGATCAACAAGCAACCCATGTTACAGGACTCTTCTTAGTTATCTTACACTCTTAGGAGTCCTCTCGCCTTCTCAGTTTAGGTTTCTGTTCCTTTCTTTCTGTAATGCGAGTTCAGCTCATTTATTCGGCATGAATAAGCCTTCTTTTAATCTAGCTAGCAACTTGAAATCAATCTAATTTCGATTGATCTTATGCAAGTGGAAATGGTAATGAAACTAAACCAGATCATTGCCAAACAAATCAAAGCACAATATCCATCTCTACTTCAAAAACTCCTTATCAGCGGGAAAAACCAGCAGCAATTACTGATACTACGAGCATCAGCATTGCACCCTACCGTATCCACCACAGATACAGAGGGGGAGGAACAACACGTAGACACATACCGCGACTGCCCAGTAATAGAACAATACAGCACAAATTGATCATCATAAAGAGAAGGGCTGATGGCCTCAATGATACTTCGTAGAAGAAAGTACGAAGAATGTCAAGAACTCTCTCTAATCATCCGATAGCAGGTTATCACTAGCTCAAGTTTCACGGCCAAAATTGTGGAATCAAGATTCAAGAGATTAAAAACTGCAACATATGGCAGTAATGCAACAACCAAAAGAATGCCTGATGAAATGAGCCACAAAATATAAAAATGCTTCCTTCAACAATCTATCTGCATCTCCAACTTACAGAGGCAGAGTCTATTTTGTTGATGTTTCATCAGGAGGGACACAGCCTGCCTTCTGGGACTTTTTGCTCTACTTCACCCATCCTTTGAGGTGGCCATACAATCCGGACAACTCGACCACTTGCTAGTCCCAATGGAATCTGCCATCAGCTATCAACTTCAGGTTAGAAACTGAATAGACAATGCACAAGGTAGACAACATCTGGTTGGCTATGTCATTACCGGGCCAAAAGATCGGGAATCCATGCTGGGAATCTCATTGTCTCCCTCAACCCAGCAATGGCCTTCTGGAACCTTGACCACATCATATGTATGTGGAGTTCCAACCCAATCACCAGGTAACCCTATTATCCTCTTTACCAGTTTCTCCTTGTGATCAACTGGAGAACTGAACAAGTATCAGAAAATGAGCACGCAACATATAAAAACCTTTGCTATGCTTCCTAATATAATATATATGAAACCTAAAATCTTCCATGCCCCAGTTCTGAAAGAAATCAACAACTACTTGGCTAGCTATCCGGAAATCAATTGGCCGGTGAACCTACCGGAAAACAACCACGTCGCCGCGGGAAAAATTGTACCGCCGGAGGCATAACTTCTCTACCATCACTCGGTCGTCTGTAGAAGCACGCAAATCAGCATAAATCACCATTCAGATTCGTACATACAACAAGGTGTAGTAAAGATTTGAGCAAAGAGTAATATTGGGTGACGAACCAAAGAGGGGATTGGTTTCCGGATTAAACGTCGGCGACATGGATCGACCACGAACTGGGACAACGCTAGCGAATCTGTCTGTGATTGGAACTCCAATAAGCCCCAACACAAAGAATTTCTTTGCTGCACTGACCAAAACTTCACGAGCTGCCGCCATGTCAGCTACAAGATGATGCCCCCTGTCAGGTGGATATCGGCCACTATCTGAGAGCCAGGCATCGAACAATGGGCGAGGAATAGAAGACGCGGATGCTGGAATACGACGGGGCGGGGAGGCAGGGGTTGACGGGGGACAAGAGAGTGAGAGACAACAAAGAGACGGCGCGACTGGTGCGAGCTACAGAAACAGAAGCATACTGGAGGTTACCCTCGGCCACGATGAACTGGCGGTGAGCGACGCAGGAAGGGGAACTGGCAGATGGCAGAGTGGGGAGGCTCAGATTTGAAGGAACGGGCTGCAGCAGGGAGAATTGGGGAGACAAAGCCCTAATTTGGGGATTTTGGACTTTCCTCTCTTTTTCGTTAATCCGCGATGGGTATGTCTAGGGGATGGCAATAGGTCGGAATGGTGCGGGTTTTGTCAACCCCAAATCTAAATTTATGGGTTTATTCGTCAAAAAATCCGGGGTAAAACTCGTTGGTTTTGAAAAACTCAATCCAATCCGCTCGGTATCCACGGGTTCATGGGTACCCGTGAGTTTTTGTGGTAAAAAATTTACAATAACAAGTTTCTTTCAAAATAAAAGTTTAACATCAATTTTCTCATACAAATTTATTCATACAAAAAAACACCAATCTAGAGCATACAAGCAAACCACAAATGATCAATACAAATTCTTCAAAATTAAAGAATAACATCTATAAACAATAAGATTAATTGAAAGCTTCTTTCTCGTCAACTAAGTTTCTTCACTCTCAACTTCATAATATCAACTTCATTCTAAACAATTAGAAAGAACAAATTATACATGTCTCCACAAACATAAAGAATATTAGTTGTTTAAGGAAGATATATTATTTAGAATATTAAATATACCGGGAAAATAATATATGTGTGTGGGCGGGTACCCATGGGACGGGTTTACCTAAACCCAAACCCACCCCGACCCGGTGAATAGTGTAGTGGTTTTAAACTCGAACCCGACCCAAAACCCGTCAACACAGGTTTTACCCGCGTTGCCCGGGTTGGGTTGGGTGGGTACCCGTGAGTTCGGGTTTTGTTGCCATCCCTAGGTATGTCGAAGCTACCGGCTGGGGCATGGGTGTTGTCATGTTGGCGTGTTAGCCCACGACTCAACGACAATCGCCGGAAAACTCACCGGGAAGCTCGCCGGAGATTCGTCGTCGGCGACTTCACCACCTCCAAAGTGACCCAAAACTTTGGGGACTGAGGACCCGGATGCCAGGAACGCGGTGATGGTCGCGTTTTTGCGATTGGAGGACGGAGGAGGGAGATCGGGCCGAAAGAACACCGAAGAGAAGCGGTTTTCCGGCAACCCAAACCACTGCCAAACTCGACCCTGCTAGTATAGACTTGTGCGCGCCGACGAGAGGAGTACGGGGGAGTTTTCAGATTTTTATTTGGAGCTCCGGTGAGTGAGATATGGCCGGGAAACCTACTTATTGTCATCTTTGCGTGTTGTGAGAGGCTTACGCTTGACAATCATACGTTCCCCGTACATGTTCTTCGGGTCTGTTGCTTTTGGTGTCTCTTGTGTCTTAATGCCATACGTTTCCATAGGTTACATTGATTTGGTACAATAGCATCGTGCACGCTCATGACACTATAGAGAGATATTTTTGAGGCCTTCATACTAGATGAAGTAATTGATTCCATTAATCTTAAACTACGACAAGAGTGGTTTGGTAAGGTTGACTCGAATCACACTTTGGCATAGTCACTTCTTGCACATGTTGTCATGGCTTGATTCACACGTAGAGGCTTCCAAATATGCTTTCCTATCTTTATGACAACATCAGGGGTGGAAGTAATGGATCGGGATTTCCAGTAACCTGTCCCAAACAAGCATCAATGTTATCTCATGGTTATATGGATTGAAGTGTTTATCTCTAATATGATACCCTGTCTTTGCGCAACGCTCCTATTTTCTCGGAGCATGAAACAAGTATATAATGCTATGATACGATAGTTAAGTATTGGGTTTATAGCATAAATTGTCCTTCTACTATCAAATTTTCTCAAACTTGTCCTTCTACTATTTTTTGACTTTATAACTTACCCCTCTATCTCTATCACGGTCACATCTCAAAGCTACCCTTCTGTTACGTTTTTCGTCCGGTTTTTGTCAAGTATGGCTTGATCATGGTGGCAATAAAGTGAATGATGATTTACCCTGACAATTATCCTCACCTTTTTCTATCAATTAATTGTCGAACAAAATGACCCAATCCACCAGAAAAGCTTACCCTCCGCCCCTGAAAGATCTTCTTCTTCCTCACCTTTCCATCTCGTGAACGACGATGACGACTTAGGAGTGGAGCACGTAAGCTCGCGATCATCACTCACTCCAATAGTGTTCCCACATCAATCTCTCCATTCAAGTGCCTCGATCGTCACTTCCCTCATATCTGCCGCCATATTATTGCTTGAGCACATATTGATCCCCAGTTTAAATCCACAACCACTTTCTTCTTGTAAGCCCCATTAAGCATCAAGAAGAAAATTTAACACTACTGTCGTTCACCAACTGCACCAAAAACACACAAAAGAAACAAACCTATCCTTCTGATAACGATGTAATTGCACATATTTGCGCCCCTAGTTCTTATCCGTTTGAGGGGCATAGTCGTGTACTTTTGGCCTATTTTATGCCGGGTTGTGCTATTTTGTCATATTTCAGGTCCCAGGCGTCAAAGGAAAGGCTAAGCACGAGTTTCGGGGCATTCGGAAGTCATTTCGTCGAGCTGGAGCCAAAACACGGGCACACCTAATTCATTACACGGCCGTGTTCTCCCAAAGCACGGCCGTGTTCTCTCCAAAACACGGCCGTGTTCTGTGGCCGTGCTTTTACTGCCGAGAGCTAATTCGAGTTTGGCAAACATGAGCTGATTACACGGGCTGAAAGCACGGCCGTGTTCTTCCAAAGCACGGCCGTGTTTCTCCCAATGCACTGGCCGTGTAATTAACCCTAGCCAAAGCACGGGCGGGCTGAGGTATTACACGGCCATGCCCTCGACCGTGCTTTGGCCACTGATGCCCTTTTAAGCAGATTTTCAGCCAAAAGGAAAGGAGGGAGCTGGGTTTTGGATCCCAAACACCCAAGGGACGAACCAAAGAGAGAGAGGGCGATTTGAGGGCATTCTTGGAGTGGAATTGGAGGATTTCTTTGCCTTGGAAGCTCGAGGAAGAAGCCTGGACTTGAAGACTGATCATCTGAAGATTCTTACTGCAGTCTCTCTCTTCTTTATGGAGTAACTTCCCTTCACTTAGGTTTTGAGGAACCCTACCTATGTTTGTTTGATTGGATGATTGTATGAGTACTCTGACTTGATTATCTTGAGTTCATATTAAATCTATGCATGTTTTCATGATTCAATTCTGCTTTAGTCGAGATTATTGATTCTGCTTTGATCCTATGAGAGGGAATACCTGATTAGGTCAATAGAGCACCATAGATTGATAGTAGTGGATCGATTGCTTTAGTCGAGGGTTGATTCACTGCTTTGTATCGATTGAGAACCTCTTTCGATAGAGGGAGTCTAGTTCAGAATGCCTTGATCAGTTGTTCTAGAGAAGGATACGTCCCTCTAGGCAATTGACTCAAGAGGGCCTTGTTCCTTTAGTCGAGACTCAAGGTCTAGTCAAGGATTCTCCGCATTGTGAATGAAAGTGAAACAAGTTAGAAATCATCAATCGTTAGTCTGACTAGTGGCTAGGGGGAATCATACCTAAGTGAGTTCCCAACCTGTAATTAGATTAACTTTAACTGTAGTTTGCTAGAGTAGTTTTAGTTCTTTCATCTTGATCTGGTTTGCTAAATAATAAACTGAAGCTGAGTAATAGTAACTCTAGAGACCCGTGGATTCGATATTTATCACTTGAGCCACTATACTGCAGTCCCTTCCATTGGTTACGCTTGGCCATTGTTAGGTGTTGTGTCATAGCGAGTCACCTTCCGCCTCCGGATACTATAACAACAGCCTATTTGTTGTTACCGTAACAACAAGGGGAACATAGTAAAATTAAAATTAAATAATAAAATAAAAATCAAATCATTTATCAAAAGCGTCTTCCTCCGTCCACCGCTCTTCCGCCGCTGTGTTTCGCCATCCTCCACCTCGAGACGGCCGATCCTCCGGACGAATCGAGACGCACGCCATCGCCACGCCCACCAGCGCCTGCAGCTTCTCCTCAGTCGCATCTCTCCGATCTTCCCTTCTACAGATCTATCTTCTCCGCAGTCGCATCTCCTTCCATCCCTCTCCTTCCGATTCAAGCAGACGCCGGCGATATCCTTCTTCCGCTCTGTTGCCGGAAACAACTACAGATCTGCTCAGGCTGCTCCGACCTCTCCAATTTCAAGCTCTCCGGCAGCTCCAGCTCCCTGAACCGCTCTTCCCCCTTTAGGTCGAGACCCAGAATCAAGTTCTTGTCACCACCGCCGTCGTTGCCGGGCCAGGTCGCGACCCAGTGGACCGACTCGTTGACCAAAGGCTTCGGACCCGCGCTCCACGATGTTGTACTGCAGAGCCGTGGAGGTAATCGTCTTCCACGAGCCGACGTTCAGTGAAAAAACCTCGACTTCAATTGCGATTTCTTCGTACTCCAGAAGCCGCACGACTCTCACGACCTTGTAATCATTGGTCGACGAATTGAACCCGAAACCGAGGAGAGCTTCAAATCCGCTGTGGGTCTCGAAAGTGACACCCGGTTCAGGGAGGGTGAAGGTTTTTCCGAGCTCCAATTCGCAGTTGCATTGACGAGGAGTCCCTGTTGAGCGAAATTCCGTTGCTGAAGCTCTAAATACAGGTCTTAGAGAAGTCGATTTCGGTTGACGGAGTCGATGCGGTGCCTGCGAATGTCGGAGCATTACTGCAGGTTTTGAAGGACTGGAGTTTGACTCTAGAGAGCGTGTCGAGTGCGACCCTCGATCGTACTGGAGGAGATGGTGGAAGCGAAGGAGAGGAGGTTCGAGAGATGCAGCGCTGGAAGATGGTGAAATCTCACTGCTGGCCGCACATCTCCATCGACGTTCTTCTTCCTCACTTTCTCCTTCGGACTGCTCTTCCCGACGTACAGCATTTCCATGGTGATTCCTGCTGCTCCAGGCAGCTACTGCTTGTGCTGTTGTGGTGAATTTCCTGATCCAGTCCATGTCCTCACCTCCGTACAAGCAAATGAATTAGAGAGACATGAATTAATTATGTGTGAAAACATAATTAATTAAGAGAGAACTATGTAATTATTATGTATACGAACCTGGTAAGGATACACATTACTAATTCCATTCATCTAGTAAGAACGTCGGATAGAATAACAAACCTTACAAAGCATACCACAATTATTTCGAAAGCATACCGGAAACCTCCTAATGCAAACCACAAATTCGCTAAAACATATCAGAAACCCCACAAAGCAAACCATAAATATTTTGAAAAGCACACCAGAAACCCCCTAATGCAAACCAAACACGGTAAAGCAAACCAAAAACGTCCTAATGCAGACCACAAATATATTAAAACAAACCAGAAATCTCGCAAACCAAACCACAAAAGTTTCGAAAGCACACGAGAAACTTCTTAAAGCAAACCAGAAACCTTCTAATACAAACCACAAATATATTAAAACAAACCAGAAACCTCACAATGCAAACCACAAAATTTTCAAAAACACACCAGAAAACTCATAACGCAAACCATTAACACAGTAAAGCAAACCAGAAACGTCCTAATGCAGACCAAAAATATATTAAAACAAACCAGAAACCTTCCAAAGCAAACCACAGAATTTTAAAAAACACACTAGAAACCTCATAATTCAAACCACAAACACGTTAAAGCAAACCACAAAAACAAACCAGAAACCTCCTAATGCATACCACAAATCTCTTAAAACAAACTACAAACCCCTCAATGCAAAACACAAACTTTTTGAAAGCAAACCAAAATCTTCTCAATGCAAACCACAAACACGATAAAGCAAACCACATACAAAAGGCATAAAAAAATATGAGAAACCAAACCATAAATCTCACAATGCTAACCATAACATCTGGTGATCGTTGACCGTTGACCGAACTCCGGTGACCGTCAGTGTGCAAATTCCGACGCCGATAGGCATATTCCGGCCCCGATGACTAGATTCCGACGCCGGTAAGCATATTTCGGCGACAAAAAGCATATTCCGGTGACCGGCGACCATATTTTTTGGCAGAAAATAAAAAATATATTTTTTTTATTTTTTTATTATTTAAACAAATTTTTCATAATGACAATTATACCCCTGCTTTGATTTTACACTAGGTCAACTCATCTAATAAAAATTCATCACAATCCTAGCTTCCTATTGGTTGGAGGCTAGTGTTGTTACAATAACAACACAAGGGGTGTTGTTATAGTATCTAGTCCCCCTCCTTCCTCGTCCGCGTTTGCTCCGTGGCCTTCCGCGCTTGAAGAACTATCTTAGTGCAATTTTAAATATGGTGTTTTAAATTTTAAAGGGATGACTTAAACTTCCCTCATAAAATCTTCATAGATGGGTGGTGAAGGAAGACAAATGGAGTTGGGCGGACCCATATTTGTTCACCAAACTGTCGCTTTCACCGCCATTTCATGATCCCATCAAAATTTGGGAGATCGAAATATAGTTTTAAGTTGTTAAAGTGACGATTTGGGAAAAGAGAAATGGGAATTGGCGAATGGGGATGTTGGGAAATTGAAGTGCTAACAATAAAGTCGTTATCTAACTGAAGAGGCTCGAGACAAGGAGAAGCCGATGCCCAAACAGAGAAGGCAAAGTCGGGGATGACAAGAAAAAGGTTGGGGGGGGGGGGGTGGATGGTGGTGACTTGTCTTTCTCGAGTAGGAGGGGTACAATTGACATTTACCCTATAGTTTTACAGAGGTTTTACAATTGATAATAAAATGACATAATTATCCTAATTTATTAACTAAATTACTTATACATATATTATTTGATGAAACTCATGCAGTAAAAGGAACGTCGACAATTATTTGGTTGCAATGCTAGTAGCATACGCTGGCTATTTGATATTTCTACTTAGATTATATAAGTATTTTGAGAAGTCACAACTAGAGTGTAGAGTTCATCGACGAAATATTAGAAAAGAACTAATGAATAAAATAAAAACACACATGAACAATTTTTATATTCTATTTATGGGACCAAATCCATTTTTTAGAATATGAATTTCAAATGAATATTATTTTTGCCCGAAATTAATAAGAGTGAAACTGGATTTTTTTAATTTAATTCAATTCTAAACTATGCAAAATATTGTTTGGGACTTTAAATCATTTTATAGAAAGAAGGAGACATTTTTTTTTGTGAACATTATATGGAAAATAATAGGGTTTTAGTCAAGAATTTAATTAGCCAGTACTGGAAGTGTTAATCAACGCTAATTATTAATTAATATTTTAGGGTTTTTGGTAGAATCCTTTTTTTTTTCCCTTTTCTATTCCAACGGTGGAAAAAGAGTAGGGAAGGGATCTTTCCACCCTCTCCTCCGAGTCCTCTCATTCGATTTATAGCGTTCGTTTCCCTGTTTTGTTACTGGGAGGACTCTTGGCTCTGTACTATTCGCCTCGCAGAGAAGAAAGGGGAGAGATCCACCCTCGCTTCTCGCTTCGCTCCGGCCGCTGGTAGGTGAACTTTCTCCCTCTTCTTTTGGGCCATCGTCGCTAGGTTTTATTGTGTTGTGGTTGTTGTTTGGTTGCTGACAACTATTGCAGCGCCGAAGTTGAATTCGTTGGAGTTAGTTTGGAACTCTTTCGCCCTTTCTCGTTATTTCTTTCGTATTTAATCGTTATCTCCTTGCATCGTTCTTTCGATCGTATTGTATGCTTCTAAATCGTCTTCCAAGTCTGGAGGGATTCCATCGTGGAAATTCTGCTTCGTTTATTAGAACTCTGGTGGATTGGTTGAGTAGCATATACATTAGGGAATCGTTCAGTGTGTTTTCAACTTGATTTCTGAGTTCGTGTCTCGCACCTGTGCGGTTGCTGCGATTCTGATGTTCAGAGGCTCCGACTATTACTAACTGGTGGTTCAGCTTGCTTAATGTTAGGTTGATTTCTCGTGCTTTTTCTATTTGAAAGCTCATATTATAGAAAGCTCCTTAAGTCGATTTGGTTTATTCCTCTCGAGACCTAGCCGGTTCATCAATCTCTGAAGCTCTTGATGTCATGTCCTGCTGCGATCACGAAACCCCTATTCTTTCTTCTCGTAATTGATCACGGTTTTCTGATGCAGACAAACCATGATGAAGTCTGCCAGGGGTAAGGGGACATCCAAAGCTACCAAGGAAGCTGTGAAGCCTGCAGATGACAGGTTCAGCTCAATCGTTAATTTCACAATCTAATTTGACTTGCTAGGTTAACTAGTGGATTATGGATTCTCCACTGCCAAATGCTTGTATGAATTCTTGTATTACCTGTCTAATTATTTTCAGGAAAGCCAGCAAGAGGAAGGCTGCGCCTGTTTCTGTAGCGGACAAAGGTGACAAGCAGAGAGCTAGGAAGGATAAGAAGGCCAAGAAAGACCCAAATAAGCCAAAGAGGCCCCCCACTGCTTTCTTTGTCTTCCTGTACGCATTAGACGCAATACAAAGTGCAAGTTTACTGCTGGTTAATGAGTATGGTAGGGTTTTCTTGTGGGATTTCTGATACTGGTCCTTTTGTCACAGTGAGGAGTTCAGGAAAACATTCAAGAAGGAGAATCCCAATGCCAATGCTGTATCTGCGGTAACTTATTGAACCTTCTTCTGTTATGAACTTCACCATCTTAGTATCTGACTGTTGTTCGAATTTGTATGTGTGGCTCAAAGGTTGGGAAGGCCGGTGGACAGAAGTGGAGGGAAATGTCTGCTGCTGTAAGTTGTTCCTTTGTCAGCGTGAGTGCTGTAACTGATTGCAGTTCCTTCGACTTGCTGAGGATATAATGAAATTGATAATTTCAGGAAAAGGCTCCATATGAAGCCAAAGCTGGGAAAAAGAAGGATGAGTATGGAAAACTCATGGATGCTTACAACAACAAGAAGGTACGGTAGTAATCCGTACAATACTCATTTCTCCGTCTAGTTAACATTATCTCTCCCGGCTTAACGTTTAATAACAACACTACATAGCAGGAGAGTGATGCTGTTCATGGAGATGACTCGGACAGGTCGAAGTCCGAGGTCAATGATGATGATGAGGAGGAGGATGCTCCTGCTACAAAGGTTGTGCTGCCCGTCCCTTAAATCTTTGATAGTTGACTCTTTTCCCCATCTCCGTTCATGATGATTTAACCTTTTGCGGTGTCCTTGTTTAATTTTCTTGCAGGAAGCACCACATGAGGCAGAGCAAGAAGTAGAAGAGCAAGAAGAAGAAGAGGAGGATGATGAGGAGGAAGATGCGGATGAGGATGATGAAGACTGAATCTATAATTACAGGGACTAAAACTTTATGCTTTTTTTTTTTTTTTTTTAATTTTTGGGAACCATCGTACTGGCCAACACAGTTTTTACTCTACTGCTGTATATTAATTAGGGGTTTGGCCTCCAGAGCATCCCTCTTATTGATCCCTTAGCATGATGTATGCATATTAGTTTAACGCAGGCGTGATGGTCTATGGTCCCCTTAGAAAGATAATTCACCCCGCAAAGGTTTTTTCTTCTTCTTTTTCCGATGATGCATGAGTTTGTATTTATATCAGAACAAACCAGTTGGGGCAACAAAGGCATTGCCACCTGAGGAAAGATCACAAGTTCCCCAAACTATAACCATACTAGAGCCTCCTGCATATTCTAACTACTCAAAACCTAGCCAAGTTTAGGCGTTGCCAAACTGATCCATCAATTCACTGCCAACAAGGATTTCAGTCAACACGTGCATAACCTGCTTTTCCTTTGAAACTGTGCAGTGTGCATATCCCAATTAATTCTGCTCTCCTTCAGTTCCAGGGATATTAGCAACCTGTGTGAGAAAAGTTTCATGAACTAATTGATAGAAAACAGGACAAGCAAAAAACAAGTGGTCATGAGATTCCAGTCAATGTCATCACCATTTAATCATTCTATCTGTAGTCTGCACATGGTCCTGAATTACTAGCCATAGTATAAAATGATTTCGAGGCACATTACAAGCTTTCTGGACCAACCGATACCATCGCACATTCTGTCGTTGCGGCCTGATCTCGTTATGAATTTCTGCAATAGAGGCTCATACAAGAAGAATCCCTGCATTTTTTTAATATCAACTTAAGTACTTTGTTCTTGTTGCAGGAGCCAACAAAAGAGGCCAACGTCCACAAATCACCTCTTTTAATCCTGTGTTCATGAACACACGCTACCCACATCGATCCATGTTGCAGTAAGATCAACCAATCCTTTTTCTACCTATGGATAAGCAAGATGAGGCCATACAATGACAGCCCTGAGGCGAGTTCCAGAATGGACACCCCACAAGTAATCACTACATTTCCTTTCTACTTCTCTTTTCGCAGCTTTAGGCAAAGTAAAGACCAAATGTCAGAAATGAGAAAGACTATATATAACATAAGAGATTAGTTCCACCGACCCCGCATAACTCAAAGAGTTCACTTTCCACTCATAAATTCGTGTAGTGATCTTATCCAACAAAGTCTTACGTAACATATACCCATCCTTCATTATCAGTCTCTTCCAACTCAAGTTGCAGTACACAAATAATCTCACTTTTTTTTTTAATTTAAGATTAATATATTTGTATGGCCCGAACTTTTCACAAATTAAATATCCTAGCCAATTTTTTCGATCTATAACATCGTGACCTCAACTATGCACCAAATTTACGAAATTGACCAAACCCGAGATTTGACCATTATCTTGGACGGTCAAATGCGTTGACTAACGGTCAACGCGTCATGTCACTGCCAAGTCAGTACATACCACTTAAATTTTTTAGTTTTTTCCCACCTATTACCATTTAACTTTTTTATTTTGAACAAAAGGAGAATGAAAAAAGAAAAGATAAAAAAGATAAATGGTAATAGGTGAAAAAACCAAAAATTTTAAGTGATTTGTGCTGACTAGGCAATGACGTGGCGCGTTGACCATTAGTCAAAGCCTTTGACCGTCCAAGATAATGATCAAATCTCAGGTTTGGCTAATATCATAACTTTGATGCATAGTTGGGGCCACGATGTTATAAATTGAAAAGATTGGTCAGGATGTTTAATTTGTGAAAAGTTTGGGTAATACAAAATATTAACCCTAAATTTAACCTTAACCCCAAATTTAACCAAAACTCGTTGCACACAATGCCCACCATAATTTTACCCATCCGTAAAGATCAATCGATCATCGGCAAAACATAGATGTGTAAGATTAATCCTATTGCACATAGGATGGTAAGTCAGAGTACCTCTAGCTGATTTTAAATCAAGAACACAAGGCAACTTATGACATGTAAATTATACTATATCAAATCCCTATTAAATGTCATGTAGTTTTCAAATTTTAATGTCATAATAAATTGGAATTGCTTGATGAATGCTCTAAACTCTAAAGTGTGCTTAGTAGCTCTTACTTCTTAGGATTACCTTTACCCTTATGATGCCCTTTTTGGGTAGTGTTTCATGCATTTCAGATAAAAGTATCCTAGCTGATCACCTAACACATTGAAAATGCCATGATTTTGTTGTGGAAGTAAGAAATGAAGATTGGAGCTAAAGTCCAAAACGACACCAAATTTAGTCGACTAGAGCCCAATTGGCGGCTCGGGCGACGTTTCCAGGAACTGTGCATTTTTTGCGTCATTTCGCCGACCCAGAAATGGAAACCACCCTCAAAGTGAGTTGGATCGGGAGCATACCAAAATGGTGACATATGACCAAAATTACGATTTTTTTTATAACCAAGATAAGACCACATCGTATGGCCGAACAACAATATAAGATAAACAATAATAAAGAATGATAGTCTGTATGCAACCGAACTCCTGATGAAAGAGTATTTTTTGCCACAATATTGCGGTTCGTCCGGTTCCTCTAGTCAGCGAGTCTGCTAAACCGGGCCGGTCGCATGTATGCAAACCTCGATCTTGGGTTAGTTTTCCTTTCGACGACTTGTGGTTAGGGTTTCACCTGTCCACTTTTCATCATGGTTGACGCGAGAAGGAGGACCTCGGCAAGGATATTCTCGGCGGAGCTGTGTCATCCGCTTCCCTTGTCATCGATGCCGCTTCTCCTCTCCATCTTCACCCCTCTCATCACCCCAACCTTATGTTTGTAAGTGACGTCCTCACCGATCTGAATTATAGCGAATGGGCAGCTGAGATGTCAAACTCACAGCTTGCCAAGAATAAGCTCGGATTCGTGACGGGGGGCACTACGCGACCCACTGAGGGTCTCCATCTCGAGGCTTGGATCCGCTGCAACGCGACAGTTGTTGGCTGGCTCCGCACAGCCATGAGCCGCGACATTAGGAGCGGACTCGCCACCGGCCTTACCGCAAAGGACATGGCCTTACCGCAAAGCACGTCTGGGACGAGCTGAAAGAACGATTCAGTACCGAAAATCGTCTTCGTCGGTACAAGCTTCGTCAGGAGATCACGACCTTGCGCCAAGAGCAACTGAGTGTTGCGAGCTTCTATGCCAAGATTAAGAAACTATGGGATGATTGGCTAACTCTAGACCCCCCAGCCAAGTGTACATGCGGAAAATGTGAGTGTGATGTCGAACGTAGGACTCGCGCCTCCCATGATGACATGCGGCTGCTTGATTTCCTTCTTGGACTAGACGATGAGGTTTCCGTCGTCCGCACCCAGCTCCTTTCCATGCGTCCGACCCCTAGTCTCGGGGCAGCTTACCACATGGTCGCAAACGAGGAGCAGCAGAGGAGTCTTTCTGATTCGAGGGCGCGCGTTGAAGCCGCGACATTCCAAGGCAAGGGAGAACACGCCGGCGGGGCTGGGAAGAACACCATGGCTGTCACTAAGGGGGAGTATGCTCGCACCTCTGATGGCAGGCCTTTCTGCCTTCATTGTCAAAAACCCAGACACTTTCGGGAGACTTGCTACGAGCTTCATGGTTGGCCATCAAAGCAGCCGGGTCGTGGAAGGGATCGGTGATGACTCGATATTTGCACATGTTTTCCCCTTTGTTTCTTGATCGTTTAAGCTTGCATTATCGATTCTTTGGCCTATTTTACGCTAGGTTGTGTTCCTTTGTCACATTTCAGGCCCTAGCAAATAAAGTGAAGCATAGGCGCAAGTTTCAAGTCAATCAGAGATCAATTGGCGATTAGGGAGAAGAAACACGAGCATGACCTGAAGAAGAATGGATTTCTACCTCACTTTATGGACAAAGAATCATGGAAGTTTGTTATGAAAAGAAAGAGGACGAGACTACGAGCGTCTGGGTTCAAACGGCGACTGATTCGGAGTCCGGACGAGGGAGAAACGAAGCTTTGAACAGGGGTGGAGGAAGAATTACGGGCAGGAGAATTACGACCGTAATTTCCCCTCCCATGCCCGTAATTTCACTGCCGAGAGGAGCTTTGGGTGCACTGAAACTTAACCAAAACGCGTGTTTTGGGCAAAATACGGGCATGGAAGAAATACGACCGTAATTCAGCCCGTAATTCGCCCAGAATCGGGTTTTTGAGGCAGATTAGAGCCAAAGGAAAGGGAGAGCTGGGTTTTTGGTTCCCAAACACCCAAGGGACGAACCCTAGAGAGAGAGCGACTTGGGAACATTCTTGGAGCTATTTTGGAGGATTTCTTTGCCATTGGAGCTCGGGAATCAAGCTTGGAGATGGAGTTTGAAGATCAAGATCAGATTTCTGCAGTCTCTCTCTTCTCTATGGAGTAACTTCCCTTCACTTAGGTTTTGAGGAACCTTAGTTCCATGAGTTAGGATCTTTCTTGTATGAAGTTTTGGATGCTATATTGTTTGATTATAATCGAATGATGCATGTTTATTGAGTCAATTGAAGTCTGATAAACTTTTCCTGATTCCTGCTGCAATCTGAGATAGATAGAATCTGATTAGGTTGCTAGAGTCTCATCATTCGGTAGTAGGAGATTGGCTATACGAGAGTTAGCCAGTTTACTGCTTTGTACTGGAATCCAATTCCAGTAGTGGAGTTCTGTGCTTATTGCTTCAGCTTTCTATCCCGGTGAAGACTAGTCGTCTGCCGGATAGTTAGACTGAGAGGGCTTGGTCAGCTTAAGAGATTCCAAGCTACTGTCGGATCTTCCGCAGTTTAATCAACAGTAAATCAACCAAAAGGAATTACAACTTGGACCTAATTGAGGAGCTAGGGGGAATCATACCTAAGTGAGTTCCCAAACTGTAATTAGTAGTTTTACTTAGTTTAGTTAATCAATCCTTAATCTAGTTTGCTAGATAATGAACTGAAGCTGAGTAATAGTAACTCTAGAGACCCGTGGATTCGATATTTATTACTTGTGCCACTATACTGCAGTCCCTTTCATTGGTTACACTTGGCCAGTGTTAGGTGTTGTGTTTTAGAGCGTCAAGTTTTTGGCGCCGTTGCCGGGGACTTTCTAGATTATTAGGAAAGGCAGAAGTTTGTTACTTTAGCGTTTTTCTTTTCTTTTCTACCCTTGCTTTTCACTTGGGTGTTTTTTGTTTTTGTTGGTGCAGATCTGAATCATGGATCCGCATGGCTTCTCCAACCAGTGGGGGTATCCACCATCATCCGAGTGGTATTACCCCGAGACTCCCTGGAGCAATCAAGGAGGAGAAGACTATGGATTCGGGTTCCAGTACCAACCCCCTTACTACGGAGAACAATCAGACCCCTGGGCATATCAAGAACAACCTCATTACCAAGAAGACTTTCTCCCACAACCAGAAGGGCCATCGGAGATGGAGTTACCCATGGCGGCCTTCACGGGGCACTCTGCAGAGCCATGCTACACTTCACTGGAGGATCCGAACGAACAATTAAGGCTTCTCGTGGAGCAGTTTGCTCGAGACACTGAGAAATCATGCTCTAAGATGGATCTTCAAATCAAAGCCCTTGCCACTTCCGATCCCTCATTTCTCCATGATATGGAGGAGACTGTTCAGCGCTCAGCGAAGCAAACAGAGTGGGTGAAACAAGTTTGCTCACATCTTGCTCAAGATCACCTTTCTGCTACCACGCTAGAAGAGGTGGAGGATGACAAAGGCTATGGGAGCGTTGAGGAGCATACAGAAGTTATCACAGAGAACCCCCATGATAATCATGATCAAGAAAGTCCTTTGGTTGCAGACCACACCTTTCCTCATTTATGCTCTAACATGCTGGGCCCGTGCGAGGAGATGCAAGATGATCCCATTGAAGAAATTACTTGGCGACTTGCTCTCCAATCTGTTCTAGAAGAAGAAGAGCGAGCAAGGATGAGGAAGGAAGTTGTGGATGATGAGGAAGAAAAAAAGAAGAGGTGGTTCTTGATCTTTTCCCAGGGGAGAGACCACATTTTGGAGAAGAAAGGGGGGTTGAGAAAGCAATTGGCGTCCAGGCTGAGGATGAAGTTAAGGTGGAAGAGGCCTGCACCGGCCATGAGTTACATGTGATATCTCCACCAAACTTCGAGGAGCTGCTTGGCAAGGACCCATTTGCAGTGTCTCTTTGCCAGACCAAGGCCACATCGACATCGGTCCCTCTTGGTGGACGCGATGGTGGTTGGTCGATGCTGTCATATCTGGTTTGGGGCAATGAGACGAGAGAAGAGAAGAAGAGGTCTCGAGGGTGGAGACTTCATTTGCATCAAGTACATGGGCCTTCATCACCTGCCAAACCACATGCTCGTGACTTGAGACTCCACCTCATTGACGAGAACCTCAACTTCAAGGAGGTTTTGGGGTGGACCGAAACTTAGGAGCCATCGTCCGGCTCATGACGTGAAAGAAGCGCTTGTTGGGAGGAAACCCAACCAGTCGGTTTGCATTTCTTTCTCTTTTTCTCCTCGGTTGAGTCAGTTTTGTTAGTTGATTTTAGAGTCAATAACTCAACCTTTGTGAGATTTTGTGTGGTGTTTGTGGTCTGACCACTCTCTCCTCCTGGAATACACCGCCTGCCCCGTCCACCATCATTCACCCTGGATCTGGTAACTTCGTTCTACCCTCCTTATCTTTCCTCCATTGAGGACAATGTCGTGCTTAAGTGTGGGGGGATGTTCGATTATGTATGCGGGTGAATGTTTGGCTGTTTGTGTGCTTGGAGCCCAGTCCACTGTCCAAATTTTTAAATTTGAGGGCTCCAAGTACGTGTTTCCTTGCAAATTGCCTGCTTAGTATGCTTTGAATTGACAGTCTCTATAGTAATGTGCAACCTAGGGAGGTAGTGTAGCACTATGGAGGATGCTGAAGTATAAGATTTTTCCTATCTAGCTCTCTGCTGTGCCAGTTGATTTTGTGAATCAGTGGAGCTAGGACCGTTGAATTCATGTGGTAATGGTGATTCTATGTGGATTGTGTTATGGACTTGTGTATAGAACAGGGTGCTCATGTGAAAAATGAAAAGCAGTTGGTCCTCCATGTCAAAATCATAAAATCTTAAACATGGGGTAAGCCCAACGTGTGCGGCACCGTTCATTGCACAAAATTGGGTTTTGGAAGAGATTTTAGTGATCCTTAGTGGGGTACTCCTACAAGGTGAAGCTAAGTTATCTCTAGTACAAGTAAAACTTCCACCCGTTGAACGGTTTGCCTACTTGAGGATGTGTTTTTAAGGGCACGGATAGAGCTTCCGACCCCCCTTGATTTCATTGACCCTCCACACGAGTTGAGGAAAAGGAGTTAAAAGAAGTACTCTGGCGAGCGCTAGATGTACAAAAAATTGCTCTTGCTCGACTAATAAGGGTCGACCGTGCAAAAGATTGCAGTTGGAACCCCCGCCAAGTGAATGAAAATGAAAAAAAGTAAAATGAAAGTGAAAAAGGGGTTCCAACGGTGAAATGAAGTGAAAGAGCACCCCGGTACAACGAGTCCTTGGTAGTGAATGGTGGGAGTCCCTTTATCCATGAACTGACTGTCTTACTTCTACTTATTCTCATGATCCTGGCTTGAGTCTAGTACTCGCATTGAGAGAGATAGGGAACGTCTTAGAAGACCAGTTGACCTCGTAAGCTGCTATATGATCTAGGAAATCCTCTACCAACGATCGAGGTTGTATGTTGATATAGAGGTCTGGAGAGCTGCATTGGTTTGAGTTAGGTTTGCTTGGGGACAAGCAAACGGTTAAGTGTGGGGGAATTTGATGACTCGATATTTGTACATGTTTTCCCCTTTGTTTCTTGATCGTTTAAGCTTGCATTATCGCTTCTTTGGCCTATTTTACGCTAGGTTGTGTTCCTTTGTCACATTTCAGGCCCTAGCAAATAAAGTGAAGCATAGGCGCAAGTTTCAAGTCAATCAGAGATCAATTGGCGATTAGGGAGAAGAAACACGAGCATGACCTGAAGAAGAATGTATTTCTACCTCACTTTATGGACAAAGAATCATGGAAGTTTGTTATGAAAAGAAAGAGGACGAGACTACGAGCGTCTGGGTTCAAACGGCGACTGATTCGGAGTCCGGACGAGGGAGAAACGAAGCTTTGAACAGGGGTGGAGGAAGAATTACGGGCAGGAGAATTACGACCGTAATTTCCCCTCCCATGCCCGTAATTTCACTGCCGAGAGGAGCTTTGGGTGCACTGAAACTTAACCAAAACGCGTGTTTTGGGCAAAATACGGGCATGGAAGAAATACGACCGTAATTCAGCCCGTAATTCGCCAAGAATCGGGTTTTTGAGGCAGATTAGAGCCAAAGGAAAGGGAGAGCTGGGTTTTTGGTTCCCAAACACCCAAGGGACGAACCCTAGAGAGAGAGCGACTTGGAACATTCTTGGAGCTATTTTGGAGGATTTCTTCGCCATTGGAGCTCGGGAATCAAGCTTGGAGATGGAGTTTGAAGATCAAGATCAGATTTCTGCAGTCTCTCTCTTCTCTATGGAGTAACTTCCCTTCACTTAGGTTTTGAGGAACCTTAGTTCCATGAGTTAGGATCTTTCTTGTATGAAGTTTTGGATGCTATATTGTTTGATTATAATCGAATGATGCATGTTTATTGAGTCAATTGAAGTCTGATAAACTTTTCCTGATTCCTGCTGCAATCTGAGATAGATAGAATCTGATTAGGTTGCTAGAGTCTCATCATTCGGTAGTAGGAGATTGGCTATACGAGAGTTAGCCAGTTTACTGCTTTGTACTGGAATCCAATTCCAGTAGTGGAGTTCTGTGCTTATTGCTTCAGCTTTCTATCCCGGTGAAGACTAGTCGTCTGCCGGATAGTTAGACTGAGAGGGCTTGGTCAGCTTAAGAGATTCCAAGCTACTGTCGGATCTTCCGCAGTTTAATCAACAGTAAATCAACCAAAAGGAATTACAACTTGGACCTAATTGAGGAGCTAGGGGGAATCATACCTAAGTGAGTTCCCAAACTGTAATTAGTAGTTTTACTTAGTTTAGTTAATCAATCCTTAATCTAGTTTGCTAGATAATGAACTGAAGCTGAGTAATAGTAACTCTAGAGACCCGTGGATTCGATATTTATTACTTGTGCCACTATACTGCAGTCCCTTTCATTGGTTACACTTGGCCATTGTTAGGTGTTGTGTTTTAGAGCGTCAATCGGCCATGACATCGCAATGCTGGAGACGACAAGCAACAACAGCAAAACAATCCTCAAGCTGCCACGCTAGAGAGCAATCTTGGCGCTGTCCCGGGGCTCACGGCTGCGCAGATGGCTCAACTTCGCGCTTTCCTTCATCCGAACTCGACACCCACTGCCGAAATGGCAGTCAATATGACAGGTAACATATTCTCCTATACTCGTACTTGGATTATTGATTCAGGGTGCAACGAACACATAGTTAAAGACCGATCATTGTTTGATGGTGAGCTTGAATCGAGCTCCCAGTTATAGGTTTGAATTCCTAATGGGAAAGGGGTCCCAGTTCATGGTATAGGCACGACGAGATTATCTAATGGGCTGGTTCTTCGTCGTGTCCTATATGTTCCGGATTTTCTGTGCAATCTGTTGTCAGTTAGTCGTCTCACAGCTGATCATTCAGTTGCCGTGATATTCCCAATTGGTTTCTGTGTTATTCAGGACTCGCGTTCGAAGAAGATGATTGGGATGGGGACACATCTTGATGGATTATATCACCTATGATTGTTCGATGGGAGTCTTTTGCGGCGCAGAAGGGAGTTTTCGGATCGTCAGTCTGGCACTCGAGACTTGGGCACCCATCTGCCAAGAAGTTATTAGCTCTTCAGCCTTTCATTTCTAGCACTTTAGTCGTCCATAAAGACCCGCGTGATTTCTGTTTACGGGCGAAACAGATTAGACTTCCTTTTGATCACAGTACTATTCATACTAAAGATTGTTTCGAGCTTCTTCACGTTGATATTTGGGGTGATTATCATGAAGCGTCATTTACTGGTGCTCGTTACTTTCTTACTATAGTTGATGATTTCAGCAGAGCAGTCTGGGTCTTTCTGTTGAAACAGAAGTCAGAAGTAGCGCGATATCTATTACTCTTCTGTAACCAGGTTCATACGCAGTATAACAAAGTTGTTCGCCGCATTCAAGCCGACAACGGTCAAGAGTTTTCCACTCATGAACTGCGTGATTACTATGCCAATGAAGGTATCATCTTGCAGACTTCCTGCACAGACACACCTCAGCAGAATGGGGCCGTTGAGAGGAAACATCGCCATCTCCTTGAGACCTCGGGCCCTTTTAACTGTAGCTTATCTAATTAATCGCATGCCCCTGGTACCGCTCGAAAACAAAAGCCCCTACCAAGTCTTGTTTGGGCGAGCTCCTAACTATGATCACCTACGTGTCCTAGGCTGCCTCGCATATGCGAAGAACACTCACAAGCATCTCGATAAGTTTGAGGATCGTGGGAGCCCAGGTGTATTCATTGGTTATCCAGCAACTCAGCGGGGTTATCGGATTTTTGATCTTGAAAAACGCGTCATCTACCTTCTAGAGATGTGCGTTTTTTTGAAGCTGTGTTCCCATACAAATGTCCAGAGCTACGGGGCACTATGTCCAACACGTTGCATGAGAGTGAACTGCAGCAGGGGATTCCATTTCGCATGGTTGATGATCCACCCATGCAACTTCCTTCTTCACGTCCCCATACTCCCGCGGACGACATCACATACCTCGCCGAGTCAACTGAGCGTCCGTTGACCTCTGATAGTCCCTCGCCCACCTATGCGGATTCGGCCTCGCCACCATCCTTTACCGAGACTGCATCCCCAGATGCTCCTAGTACCCTTCCCGCCGAACCCCGCCGAGGCCTCCGACATCGTCACCCACCGAAGGTGCTCTTGGACATTTATGATGTCGACCTACCTGGTTCCTCCAATTCCATTTCCGTTCGGCACCCTATTGCAAATCATGTCAGGTATCATCGCTTGTCCACGCCACATCGCGCCTTTGTTGCTAGCATCACTCACCACCCAAAGCCACGTTTCTACCACCAGGCAGTTCGGTTTTTGCATTGGCGGTTGGCCATGCAAGCCGAGATCTCGGCCCTGGTTGCTAATGGCACTTGGGTTCTTGTTCCTCTTCCACTGGGTAAACGTGCCATTGACTGCAAAAGGATTCACTCAAATCGAAGGAACTGACTATCTTGATACCTTCGGCCTGTTGCCAAACTCGTCACGGTTCGCAGTCTACTAGCTGTTGCAGTCACACGGGGTTGGTTTATCCATTAACTCGACGTTAATAGCGCCTTTCTACATGGGGATCTACATGAAGAAGTTTTGATAACGATGTATTTGCACATGTTTGCACCCTTAGTTCTTATCTGTTTGCGGCTAGTAGTCGTGTATTTTTGGCCCATTTTACGTTGGGTTGTGCTACTTTGTCATATTTCAGATCCAAGACGTTGAAGGAAATTCTAAGCACGAGATTCGGGGCGTTTGGAGGTCATTCGGTCGAGCTGGGGGCAAAACACGGGCAGGAGGCCTGAAGAACACGGTCGTGTACACAAACGAGCACACCAATGTTTTTATGTGCGAGAGCTGAAATGATGGAAAAGCAAAACACGGGCTGGCCTAAAGAAGAACACGGCCGTGTTCCAGGCCGTGTTATTTATGCCGAGGCTTGATTGAAGGGAGATGATGCGATGTCCAAAACACGGGCGGAAGTGAAGCAAAGCACGGTCGTGTCCATCTTTAGGCACGAGCGTGTTTTGGCTGACGCGGGTGTGTTTTTAACATGTGGCGAGGGCACAGACGGGAAAAGGCAAAACACGGCAGTGCCCTCGACCGTGTTTTGCCCAAAATCGGGTATTTGAGGCATATTCAAGCCAAAGGAACGGGAGAGCTGGGTTTTGGTTCCCAAAAACCCAAGGAACGAACCCTAGAGAGAGAGAGAGCGACTTGGGAACATTCTTGGAGCTATTTTGGAGGATTTCTTCGCCATTGGAGCTCGGGAATCAAGCTTGGAGATGGAGATTGAAGATCTAGATCAGATTTCTGCAGTCTCTCTCTTCTTTATGGAGTAACTTCCCTTCACATAGGTTTTGAGGAACCCTAGTTCCATGCGTTAGGATCTTTCTTGTATGAAGTTTTGGATTCTATATTGTTTTATTACAATCGATTGAGGCATGATTTATAGAGTCAATTGAAGCCTGATCATCTTCTCTTGATTTCTGCTTTAACCTATGATAGATAGAATCTGATTAGGTTAAGAGAGCTTCCTTGATTGATAGTGGTGAATTGTTTGTGCGCAAGTCAATCAATTCACTGCTTTGTATTGGAATTCATTCCAGTAGTGGAGATCTGTGTGAATCGCCTTACAGTCTATCCCGGTGAAGGCTAGTCGCCTGCCGGGTATTCTGTCTAAGAAGGCTTGGTCAACTTAAGAGATTCCAAGCTAATTTAGGATCTTTCGCAGTTTAATCAACAGTAGATCAACCAAAGGTAATTGCAACTTGGACCTAATTGAGGAGCTAGGGGGAATCGTACCTAAGTGAGTTCCCAACTTGTAATTAGTAGAGTAGTTTAGTAAATCAATCCTTAATCTAGTTTGCTAGATAATGAACTGAAACTGAGTAATAGTAACTCTAGAGACCCGTGGATTCGATATTTATTACTTGTGCCACTATACTGTAGTCCCTTTCATTGGTTACACTTGGCCATTGTTAGGTGTTGTGTTTTATCATGTCAAGTTTTTGGTGCCGTTGCCGGGGACTTTCTAGATTATTAGGAAAGGCAGAAGTTTGTTACTTTAGCATTTTTTTCCACCCTTGCTTTTCACTTGGGCGTTTTTGTTTTTGTTGGTGCAGATCTGAATCAGGGATCCTAATGGCTTTTCCAACCAGTGAGGGTATCCACTACCATCTGAGTGGTATTACCCCGAGATTTCCTGGAGCAATCAAGGACGAGAAGACTATGGATTCGGGTTCCATTACCAACCCCTTTACTACGAAGAACAATCCCCCTGGGCATATCAAGAACAACCTCCTTATCAAGAAGAATTCTTCCCACAACCAGAAAGGCCATCAGATCTTGATTTAGCCACAGCCCTCACGGGCCATCCGGCAGAGCCATGCTACACTCCACAGCCAGATCCAAACTATCACTTGAGGCTTCTCGTGGAGCAGATTGCTCGAGTACCTGAGAGATCCTTTCCCGAGATGGATCCTCATATCCAGACCATTGCCCAAGCTGACTTCTCCTTCCCCGTGAAATAGAGGATACCCTTCGGAGCATAAAGAAGCACATAGAGGTCATTGAAAAAGCTTGTTCACAGTTTTCTCAAGACAACCTTTATGCTTCCACACAAGTAGAGGAGGAGGAAGAAGAAGGCAATCATGAGGATGTTGAGGAGCATACAGAAGTTGTCACGGAATGCTCCCATGATAATCATGATCAAGTGTATCCTCTGGTGGTAGATCACAACTTTCCCCATTTCCGCTCTGACATGCTGGGCCGAGCGAGGAGGTGCAAGCTGAACTTATTGAGAACCTTGCATGGCGACTTTCTCTCCAATCCATTATGGAAGAAGAAGAGAGAGAAAGGGCGTGGAAAGAAGTTGCGGAGGATGAGGAAGAAAGCAAATAAGAGGTAGTTCTTGATCTTTTCCAAGGAGAGATACCACATTTTAAAGAAGGAAGGGGGTTTGAAGAAGCGAGTGGTGTCCAGGCTGAGGATGAAATTAGGGTGGAAGAGGCTTGCACCGACCCTATAATACAAGTAATATCCCCACCAAACTTCGAGGAACTGCTTAGCAAGGACCCATTTGCAGTGTCTCTTTGCCAGACCAAGACCACATCGACATTGGTCCCTCTTGGTGGACGCGATGGTGGTCAGTCGATACGGTTATATTTGGTTTGGGTCAATGAGACAAGAGAAGAAACGAGGAAGAGGTCTCGAGGGTGGAGACTTCAGCTGCATCAAGTGCACGAGCCTTCCTCACCTGCCACACCACCTGCTCGTGACTTGAGACTCCACCTCATAGATGAGAACATCAACTTCAAAGAGGTTCTAGCATGGACTGAAACTTAGGAGCTACCGTCCGGATCACGACGTGAAAGAAGCGCTTGTTGGGAGGCAACCAAACTAGTCGGTTCGCATTTATTTCCCTATCTCTCCTCGGTTGAGTCAGTTTTGTTCTTTGATTTTAGAGTCAATAACTCAACCTTTGTGAGATTTTTTGTGGTGTTTGTGTTCCGACTACTCTCTCCTCCTGGAATGCACCGCCTGGCCCGTCTATCATTATTCACCCTTGAATTGGTAACTTCGTTCTACCCTCTTTATCTTTCCTCCATTTAGGACAATGTCGTGCTTAAGTGTGGGGGGATGTTCGATTATGTATGTGTGTGAATGTTTGGCTGTATGTGCGTGCTTGGGGCCTTGTTCGCTATCCAAATCTTGAGATTTGAGGGCTCCAAGCACTGCTGTTTGCTTGATCGTATTGGCACTGTGGATTTGATTGGTGAATCGAATGGCTTTCGAATTAATGCATGACAATTGTAACTAGGACAGCCTAAAATGATGACTGAGACGTGCAGTAGAATTGTGTAGGGGTTCAGTTTTTCAACTGTTTACTTACCAACTGTGACTTGGATTGATCACTTGCTCTTGACCGTCGTTTGTGCATCTAGTTCAGGGAATTAGAATGAGAGATAGAGCATATAGGTAGCCATGTGAGATTTGAGTCTGCTCGTTTCTTTCTTGTGTGATAGATCCCTCTTCCATGATGTGTAGCATTCACGTTGTCACTAGCTAGGATGATGGAGGCATAGGATTAGCCCACAACCAAATTGAATGTCCTGGTGTGTCATACCCCCTAGTCAGCCCCTTTGAGTCGTGTACTTTTCTTTCTTTCAGTCTACAATGGAAAATCACCCTCTTGCATCTCTTAGAAGGTTCCACAGAGTGGTTTTTGCATGTTCTCTGCTGATTCTGCTAAATTTAATGTGAGGGTAAGAGGTAATTCTTAAAAAGTTAGGCAGTTTTTTGAGAAATGTGCAGAGGTGGTGGTTCTCTCAAGAAATGAAAAAAAGAAAAGGAAAAAGAAAAAAAATGAATGAAAGCAAAAGAGAGCCACCACCAAAATCTGAATATTGCCCATTAAGTAGTGTTTCTTAGCAGTATGGCTTGGAAATACTAACATTATTGTGACCTCCTTCGCTCTTATGCTCTAAAGAACTCGAGTAATGCAGAATGGCAGAAAGAAAGAAAGTGGTTTGATTGATTGTGATTGTGTTGGGTTTGGAACTGTGGAACCTTGTGCTATGAATACTTCCACCACCTAAAAGGCTTTTTCCCCATGTTCAAGACCCTAGCCAGTCATTTGAACATGTGTCTAAGACCTCCGGATTAGTTAGTGATGACACCCGATATGTGAACTCTAACATTTAGAGGCTGCTGTCATGGTGAAGAGACGTTAGGGATTGAGAGTATGAGTATGCACATCTTGCATCAAAATTTTGTCCTGACCCCACTGGTCGAGAGTGAGCGATTTATTTCCTCATATTTTCTGCACTCTTTACCCCGGTGAGGACCTAGATTGCGCGGTCTTAATTCTGATATCTTGAGCTTTATGCATGAAGTGACTGTCTTGAATAAGTGGTTGAGTCAAGTCTATGTTGGTTGGTGAACATAAGGGAGACTCTTCCTTTGCTCGACTTTGCTGCACTCGAATGTCATCTATGGTGGTTGTCTAGGTTGTTGTTGAGGTTGTCCATGTGTTAATGATCAAAAGCCAGTATGATTCACGTGTTTTGTGTCGATATGATATGTCCCTAAAGCATGCTTGATTAAAACGTTTTGAGCTTACCTTGTGTCTGACTAGGTTTGCTTGGGGACAAACAAACGGTTAAGTGTGAGGGAATTTGATAACGATGTGTTTGCACATGTTTGCACCTTAGTTCTTATCCGTTTGCGGCTAGTAGTCGTGTATTTTTGGCCCATTTTACGTTGGTTTGTGCTACTTTGTCATATTTCAGATCCCAGGCGTCGAAGGAAATGCTAAGCACGAGATTCAGGGCGTTTGGAGGTCATTCGGTTGAGCTGGGGGCAAAACACGGGCAAGAGGCCTGAAGAACACGGTCGTGTACACAAACGAGCACGCCAGTGTTTTTATGTGCGAGAGCTGAAATGATGGAAAAGCAAAACACTGGCTGGCCTAAAGAAGAACACGGCCGTGTTATTTATGCCGAGGCTTGATTAAAGGGAGATGCTGCGATGTCCAAAACACGGGCGGAAGTGAAGCAAAGCACGACCGTGTCCATCTTTAGGCACGACCGTGTTTTGGCCAACGCGGGCGTGTTTTTAACACATGGCGAGGGCACGGATGGGCAAAAGCAAAACACGGCCGTGCCCTCGACCGTGTTTTGCCCCGAATCTGGTTTGAGGCAGATTCAAGCCAAAGGAAAGGGAGAGCTGGGTTTTGGTTCCCAAACACCCAAGGGACGAATCCTAGAGAGAGAGAGAGCGACTTGGGAACATTCTTGGAGCTATTTTGGAGGATTTCTTCGCCATTGGAGCTCGGGAATCAAGCTTGGAGATGGAGATTGAAGATCTAGATCAGATTTCTGCAGTCTCTCTCTTCTCTATGGAGTAACTTCCCTTCACTTAGGTTTTGAGGAACCCTAGTTCCATGTGTTAGGATCTTTCTTGTATGAAGTTTTGGATGCTATATTGTTTGATTATAATCGATTGAGGCATGATTTATAGAGTCAATTGAAGCCTGGTCATCTTCTCTTGATTTCTGCTTTAACCTATGATAGATAGAATCTGATTAGGTTAAGAGAGCTTCCTTGATTGATAGTGGTGAATTGTTTGTGCGAGAGTCAATCAATTCACTGCTTTGTACTGGAATTCATTCCAGTAGTGGAGATCTGTGTGAATCGCCTTACAGTCTATCCCGGTGAAGGCTAGTCGCCTGCTGGGTATTCTGTCTAAGAGGGCTTGGTCAGCTTAAGAGATTCCAAGCTAATTTAGGATTTCGCAGTTTAATCAACAGTAGATCAACCAAAGGTAATTGCAACTTGGATCTAATTGAGGAGCTAGGAGGAATCATACTAAGTGGGTTCCCATCTTGTAATTAGTAGAGTATTTAGTAGAGTAGTTTAGTAAATCAATCCTTAATCTAGTTTGCTAGATAATGAACTGAAGCTGGGTAATAGTAACTCTAGAGACCCGTGGATTCAATATTTATTACTTGTGCCACTATACTGCAGTCCCTTTCATTGGTTACACTTGGCCATTGTTAGGTGTTGTGCTTTAGTGTGTCTAGTTTACATGAAGATTCCCCAGGGTTTCAGTCGCCCCGGTGATAACTGAGTTTTTCTTTTGCGAAAATCGATCTATGGACTGAAGCAAGCCTCCAGGAATTGGTATAAAAAATTCTCGGAAGCATTAGTGGAGTTTGGTTTTCTGCAGATTAACGCTGATCACTCGTTGTTTACCTATCGCACTGCCACTTCCTTTATTGTGGCTCTCATCTACGTTGATGATGTCATTCTCGCCAGGGATGATCTTCCTTTCATTCAATGCGTCAAAAATTTCTTGCATGATTGCTTCACTATCAAGGATTTGGGTCCACTTGAGTTCTTTTTGGGCATTGAGGTACCCCGTTCTCCCTGCGGCATAGTCATCAATCAACGAAAATATGTCTTGGACATTCTTGCTGATTCTGGCCTCCCTGCCACTCGTCCCTGCTCTTCTCCCATCGAGCAGAATCACCAGCTGGGTCGACAGACCTCTCCTCCGGTTTCCAATCCGAGCTCCTTTCGCCGCCTCGTTGGGCATCTTCTCTACCTCACTGTCACTCGGCCGGATATCACTTACACAATCAATCTCCTCAGTCAGGCTGTTCATGCTCCTACTCAGGCACATTAGGATGCAGCTCATTGTGTTCTTCGTTATCTCAAGCATTCTCCAGGTCGAGTTCTCTTTTTCCCTGCTGACAATTCCTTAATCTTGACCGGCTTCTGCGATGCTGACTGGGCTGGTTGTCCCACCACTCGTTGCTCTACGACTGGTTTCTTCCTTCGTCTTGGTGCTGCTCCCGTTTCTTGGTGTACGAAGAAACAGCAGGTCGTCGCGCGTTCTTCAGCTGAGGTCGAGTATCGTTCCATGGCCAGCATTGTCACCGAGATCATTTGGCTGCGTTGGCTCCTCTCAGAGCTGGGTGCTCCCCAGTTTGGCCCGACGTCTCTTTACTGTGACAACCAGGCTGCTCTCCACATTGCGACTAACCCAGTTTTCCACGAACGCACCAAACACGTGGAAATGGACTGCTATTTCATTCGCGAGCATGTGCAATCTCATGACATCTCTCCTCGGAAGATCGCTACTGCTGAGCAACCTGCTGATCTCTTCACAAAAGGGCTTGGCGTTGATCATTTTCATCACCTGTTGTCCAAGCTTGGCATGTTCGATCTTCATGCCTCCGCTTGAGGAGGAGTATTGCGGTTTGTCCGGTTCCTCTAGTCAGCGAGTCAGCTAAACCGGGCCGGCCGCATGTGTGAACCCTAATTCCCTCCATCTCGTCTTTACTTAGGGAATTAGGTTTAGTCATTGAGATATGTAAATAGGCCTAGTACTGGTCGATGGCCGAATATCTTGTAATCGTCAGAATTCACAATCAATAAAAGAATCGAGAGCCCTGGCTCTCCGTGGAGTAGTCTCGTTCACATTGAACGGGGAAACCACGTAAGTCGAGTGTTGTGTGATTGGTTTATGTTATCGTAGTATCGATTTTATTACACAAAGTGAGTAGATTTGTGAAAGCTCAGTGGAGCGAAAAGGAACAAAACTCACTCAAATAGAGAGAAAGAGGTGAGCACTTCCCAAAAAATACTCCATCTGAGGGCTCAAGATAGGGTGCATAACTAAATCCGCACCATTCATTTAGAAAATCCTGATCTAAGGATGGAAAATTAAAAGTCATTTTTATTTTTCTTTATCGGCTCATATCTTCTTCGTTTTAACTCTGATTAATTTTTTTTTTTGCACAGATGGAACGTGTTCGTTGTGCTCTACAAAATGAGATACATTTTCAATATTTTTTTAGAAAATTTTTTTTTCTTGCCTCTCGGTACCAACTGCATACCATATGGTATCTTCTTCGTTTTCAATTCATTTTTTGAAAACGTTTGCACAGATGGAACGAGTTCATCATGATCTATTGGATCTACAAATTTCTGGGTGAACAATTTACAGGATCAAAAAATACCACACAATACCATACAATACCACACTGGTACGGGGTGGTATCTTGTGGTACACAATGTTAAAAGTCATAAATGACAGTTAATATACTTCTACTATCATGTATTCAACCATCCTACAGTCTTGGTTTGTTCATTCAACCGTGGTACGCTTTTCAAACAATAGGTATGCTCTTATTTCAATACCATATGATGATACAGACTGGTAAAAAACGGGTCATTTTTTTGTTCTAAAAATATATCAAAGTGGATATAATTTTGAAGAGCACAATTAATCTGATCTAACTGTGCAAAAAAAATTAAATTTCGACTTAAAACGAGTGAGAAATCATCCATCAAAGATTAAAGAGGGGAAAATTAAAGGCTTTCCATGAGAAAGAGAGATGCTGATGTGGACGGATTACTCATGGTTACTCACCATAATGTTACTGACCTGATCCGTTCCCCAATCTGTTTCTATTTGAGTGGAAGCAGAGAAAAGCAAAGGGATGACCTCCTCCAAAACAATACAAGTCAAATAGTCCCAAAAAAATACAAATTTCTATCACAACTTCATAAGGGATATAAGCGATCCTTTAAGGCAAAAACAGAATTAATGAATACAACAATAAAAAATATTGTAGAAAACAAATACAGTTGATGATCAATTCTCAAAAGTCAAATTGTAAAAGTTGATGTTTTGGGATGCAAATAAAAGACAATATTTTGGAGAAGGAGCAGTCATCTTAGTATTTTGGACATTAGGTTAGCCACTACTAGAATATGACCCAAAGAAGCTCTAAAGCCTTAAATGGAATAGAAAGCTAGATTCGAGAAGGAAAGGTCAGGCTGGCGAGTTCGGGTTGGGTTCAATCGGTTTTCGGGTTCATCGAGTTGCAAGTTTATCGGGTTCGGATTCGGTTTTAAATGAGTTGCGGGTTCATCGGGTTCCGGTTCAATCGGGTTGTAGGCAAATCGGGTTGCGGGTTCATCGGGGTTTGGGTCGGACGGGTTGCAGGCAGATCAGATTGCGGGTTGTTCGGGCCAGCGCATCGAGTAACTTACTCCTCACTCGTTACCAACTTAGATATTTTAAAATATTGTTCTCAATTTTAACCAATTTTTTCCTACCTCGTATATATACTTGATTAAAAAGAAAAACTAGTCATAATGTTAAATCAATTTGTACGACTTGCAAACTTGTAATGTAATTAATCGTATTTGGTAAAGTACACTAACTAATAGTAATGGTGATATCAACATTTGCAAACAAAAGACACCATTAATTGTTTATTTGATATTTTAGTATTATTTCAGTAGTAATTGGATAGTATAACCATGCAAATCTGGTATTTGACGTGTTGTATTTGGCAAAAGCAAAGTAGTAAAAGGATTTATTTCAAAATAACTCAATTCCCAAATAACTTCAGCAAACTTTTGCCAAATGAGTTATTTGTTAATTGATCGAATTACCGTAAAATTGAACCATTAAAGATTAACTATCAAATTTAGTAAAATTGTTGTGACTTTGATCATAATTTACTCAATAACATATATCCTATACACTTAACCTTACCCTCAATCGACAATATTAAGTTAGTATATGTTATTGATCGTATACCCTAAACCATCAATACATTATACACTAACCACATACTCTATGCCCTAACCATATATCCTTATGAGTTGTGATTTTGCTAAAATAGTTAATTTGAAGTGAAATTCAAACTTTGATTTTCAAAACATAGATAAAAAGTGATATTTGCTAGACCCTAACCATATATCCATACACTACATCATATACCCTATATCCCTAACCACGTGCAATAAAATGTAGAAGCATAGAAAACAAGTAGACAAATTTTGTGAATTTTTCTAAAACAAATGATTGTTGTAACTTGTAACTATTGGTTAACTTAGTTATTAGACCATAAATAATTACATATATATATATTAACCTTCAAAGCATATAAGAATAAATTTAATTAGTCATGCCCTCCGTATAAAAATTGAAGATTCAAATTTCAAAGGCTAAAATTTTGAAAAATCAAAAAGTTGAAACACCAAATTTGTTTCCTTCTTTATTTTCCCAAAAAAGAATTAAAATACAAAAATTACTCTCCTTCTTTCTCATTCCATAAATTAGAAACACTCAATTTTCCCTCCTCTTTCTCTTCCATTAAATTGAAAGAACCAAAATTTCCTCATCTTTCTCTTCTATAAAATTGAAGAATCAAATTTCTTCCTTCATTCCACAAAAAGTTGAAAACTCAAAATTTCTCTTTTTATTTCTCTTTCACAATCAAAAGAACCAACTTTCCCACTTCTTTCTTTTCCCACAAATCAAAACCACCAAAATTGTCCCTTATTTCTTTTCTGAAAAATTCAAAGAACCAAATTTCTTTCTCTTCCCAAAAATTTGAATACACCAAAATTTTGATCTTTTTTAAATTACCAAATACATTATATTACTTTATTTATATTTAATTAATAACTTTATTGAATAGTTAAACTAACTAAAATTTTATTTATATATATTATATTAATATTATCCATGATCTCAATTATTGATTCTTCATTATTAATATTGACATTGTGTTGATTTTATATTTTATATTTATTTTTTGAATTTTATTAAAGAACTTAGTGTGCAAGTGACCTTCATGTTTCAATTTTCGTAATTTTCTTAAAATGCATAATATCAAGTGAGTTTTATATTTTTTAAATTCCCTATACGAAATCAAAAATTAATTTTACCTAAGTTTAGAATAAAAAACTTTATTTTGAAAAACTATGTATAATTATTCAAGTGGATTAGGTGAAGTTCGAGTTGAGTCGGTTGAGTTACGGGTTAGTCGGGTTTGGGTTACTTGGGTTGCGGGTTTAATCGGGTTGCGGGTCAATCGGGTTTGGGTTAATCGGGTTGCGGGTTAGTCGAGTTGCGAGTCAATCGGGTTATGAGTCGGACGGGTTATGAGTTGTTGACATTTAGTCAATTGGAGTTACAGGTCGGATTGATCGGGCTGGTTAGTCGGGTCGGGTTCTGTTTTGACACTATAATGGTGACATCTCTTATTCTTGTATTTGTGATTTTCCTTATATTCACGGATAGATAAACTCTTAGATTATGCAAATTATGCAGAACCTTAGAGATAATTGGTTGATTTGATTATATGATGATTTTTTAATGTTCTTGATGCATTCTTCTCAATGTGATTGTCGACTCCATTGAAGCTATCTCGTCACGTGTTGATAGCTTCGAATCCATTTTGTATGAGTTCAGACTGGACACAACCATCTTTCACAATGAATCACCAATAGAAGAACTGCTCCAAGGAACATTGTAGTCTACTTGATCTAATGAACGTTAAACACACGATATGATGAAATTCCATTTGTCAGGATCAAACAAATCATATGGCATAGAAGGCAACGGATCAGTTCAGTAATTTTATGGTGAGTAACCATGAGTAACCCGTCCACATTAGCATGACATCATCATTCTTCTATCTCCTGAAAAGCCTTTAATTTTCCCCTCAATCTTTGACGAATGATTTCTCACTCGTTTTAAGTCGAAATTAATTTTTTTTTGCACAGTTAGATCAGATAAATTGTGCTCTTCAAAATGATATCCACTTTGATATATTTTTTGAACAAAAAAAAAAGAGCCATTTTTTACCAGTCTATACTATATGGTATTGTCTGGTATTGAAATACATATGGTTTGAAAAGCGTATCATGGTGGTATGAACAAACCAAGACTGTAGGATGGTTGAATACATGATAGTAGAAGTATATTAACTGTCATTTAAGACTTTTAACATTGTGTACCATAAAATACCACCCCGTACCAGGGTGGTATTGTGTAGTATTTTTTTATCATGTAATTTGTTCACCCAGAAATTTGTAGATCCAATAGATCATGATGAACTCGTCCCTTCTGTGCAAACGTTTTCAACAACGAATTAAAAACGAAAAAGATACCATATGATACCGAGAGGCCATAATTTTTTTCTCAAAAAAATAGTGAAAATTGGTGTAATTTTGTAGAGCACGATGAACTCGTTCCATCTGTGCAAAATTTTTTTTTAAATTAGAATCCGAGTTAAAACGAAAAAGATATAAGCCGATTAAGAAAACTAGGGAAAATAAAAATGACATTTATTTTTCCATCCTTAGATCTGAATTTTCTAAATAAAAAGTCCAAATTTAGTTATTGATGGATACATAACCCACCCTATCTTCAGCCACATAAAAGGGGCCAATGATCGAGGTGGGAGTCTGCGGTGCGTTGTTAGTACTTATAGCAAGTGGTTATGCTTTGTTAACCTTTACATGTATATATATGGAACGAGAGCAAACAAGAAGCAGAGAAGAAACGTTAGGGGTACAATTAGTGGTGTAATTATTATAAGAAGCCAGGATTAGTGAATGGTGGGATGCAAGTGGGAATTTAGGTGTTGAAAATATAGTAAGAAGCAAAGGAGCTAGATGGTTTTGAAGATGGCAGCACTAGGTGGAGAGTAAGACCGGGGTTTTACTAACGATCAAAGATAGTGAAGAATTCAAGTTAAACGGCTTGACAATAAGTGGCAGTGGCGGTACGTGGAAATGGGGTTGAGCTGCTAACTAGTTGGCTCTAGCGAATTCTAGGGAATTGGAGACCAGGTCACAACAGCCGGTTTTGACTTTAGTATTAAGGTGAGTGTAAAATGGATAATATCTTAGTCGAGGTCTTTTAGTTTATGATTTTCATTCAAGTTATTATTTAGTTGATTTTCAAGTATGCGGGATCTGTGTTTAAGGCATCCCACCACCTACTTAAGGGTGGAGGCACGTGTTGTGCTCTATATGAATGTAAGGGCGTATGGTTGTAATAGTTGGGTAATGGTAGGATGAACCCCCGGGCGGTTGGGCCACTACTGGACGCGGTAGATGGTCGGGTCACTGTTGGACGGCGAGACGTAACGCAGCAGTTGATCGAGTTTGTTGGGGTCACTACTAGACGGCGAGACGTAACGCAGTAGTTGACCGGGCATGGACTGGACAGCGAGACGTAACGCAGTGCCATTGCCGAGTTTGGGTATGCAACCGGACGGCGAGACGTAACGTGGTTGGCATACTAGGGTAGGGACACCGGACGGAAAAACGTAATGCGGTGGTCCTTGGTATTGATGCCTATGAGTTGAGGGAGAGCTTCTATAGATAGGATAGGAATAAAGATATTTTATAGACTGTTTTGAGAATAAAGTTTTAAGAGCAGAAAGCGAGAACGACTTTCGTGCTAGAAAGGAAACTATAATAACGTGGTAGTAGGAAGTTGCCTAGGGCAAAGACCTTAGGAAGTAACGACGAGACTGACCCCTTCTCACTCACCAGGTCGAGGAAGGGTTAGCAGAGGCGAATTTCGTGGAGAGGCAAGGCGAGGCGAGTAGTTGCACCAGCATTGATGAGAAGTCAAGGAACTCGTGAAGAGTCAGAGCTAGAATAGTTTAATTTCTTTGTTACATGGTTAGGAGTGTAAACTGGAGATTTTGAGTTCATTCATTTTACGTATTGGGATTGTCATTTGCCCAAGTGTTCAGGCTTTTTGTTTGAAATTCTTACACATTGTCGGTTTATTTATTTTAAAAAGTTGTTTCGGTTGCTCCAGAGTAACTGGTTTTCGGTTTGAGTTATGGTTTGATTTTCTAAAAAGATCGGGTCGTTACACTCATATAAAAAACTCGTAATGAAATTTGGAAGGATCGACGTCCAAATATTAGTGACCTTAGACCATTTGGGTATTGATGTTTTATACTCAGTACCAAGGACATTCTAGGAAAATTTGACTCAAAGTCAGATGAAGGAGTTCTTTTAGGATACTCTACTGGTAGTAAAGCTTATAGAGTCTTCAACAAAAGAACCTTGAACGTTGAACAATCAATAAATGTTGTTTTTTTATGAAACTGTGTACATTTCTCAGCATGAAAAAGAGCAGAAAGATGATGGAGATCATTTGGGACTAATCCGAACGAAGACAACCTCAGTCACTCAACAATAGGAGACTTCAGTGGATGAGGTGCTCAAATCACATGAGCCTAGTGCACTACATCATATTGCTAAAGCACATCCTCCACATCAAGTCATTGAAAACATCAATGATGGGGTCAAAAAAGATCAAGTAAGGACTTGTATCAAGGTCAGACTTCTCAATTTTCCTTAATTACTACGATCTATTTATCTTTGATTGAACCTAAAAATGTTAAGGAAGCTTTACCAGATGAAAGTTGGCTTTTTGCTATGCAAGAAGAAAGTATTCAATTTGCTAGAGCTCAAGTATGGGATTTGGTTCCTAGACCCATAGGTAAAACCATTCTAGTGCTTAAATGCGATTACCGCAATAAAACAGATGATCAAGATATAATCACAAGAAATAAGGCTAGATTAGTGGCTAAAGGTTATAATCAAGAAGAAGGAATAGATTATGAGGAAACGTTTACTCTAGTGGCTTGTATTGATTTAATTAGATTATTGTGTGCCTTTGCTTGCTCCATGAATTTCAAACTGTATCAAATGGACGTTAAAAGTGCATTTCTAAATGGAGTCTTACAAGAAGAAGTTTAGGTAGAATAACCCCCCCCCACCCCCCAGTTTTGAAGATCATAGGTTTCCCAACCATATGCAAACTTAAAAAGGCCCTCTATGGTTTAAAACAAGCTCCTAGAGCTTGGTATGAAAGATCAACTCAATTTATTGAAAGTGAAGGGTTTGTCAAAGGTTCTAATGATACAAATCCTTTTCTCAAAAAAACATAAAGATGATCTTATGGTTGTTCAAATTTATGTTGATGACATAGTTTTTGATTCTACTAATGAAGCTATGTGTGTCGAGTTTGGTTCCTCCATACAACAAAATTTCAAAATGAGTACGTTGGGTGGGCTTACCTATTTCCTAGGACCTCAAAAGGAATTTTCATTAGTCAGTTAAACTACACTTAGTCAATGTGGACCAAGTTTGACCTTAGTAATCTCAACCCTAGCTCGACCCCAATGGCTACGAATATCCAATTAGATAGAGATGAAGATGGTATAGACATTGATGAGCGTAAATATCGTGGAATGATAGGGTCACTTCTCTATCTCACGGCAAGTAGGCCCGACATCATGTTTAGTGTATGTGTGTGTGCCCAGTTTCAATCCAAACCTAAGGAGAGTCATCTTAGTGCCGTTAAGCGCATCTTTCGCTACTTGAAAGGAACAACAACTCTAGGATTGTGGTACCCTAAAGAAACAAATCCCGAGTTTATGGGTTTTAGTGACTTAGACTTTGCCGGCAGAAGAACGAATAGGAAAAGTACCTCCGAAACTTGTCAATTTTATGTTCACTCCTTAATTGTTTGGTTTAGTAAGAAACAAAACTCCGTAGCACTATCAACCGTCAAGCCTGAGTATATTGCCGCAAGAAGTTATTGTCAACAACTTCTGTAGTTAAGAATTCAACTAGTAGACTATGGAATTCTAATTCCCACCGCTCCTATTTTGTGTGATAATACCAGTGCAATAAATATGTCCAAAAATCTGGTCCAAGACTCTCGAATGAATCATATTGAGATTAAATATCATTTTCTTCGAGATCTAGTTCAACGTCAAATTGTGTCTATTTCCTTTATACCCACAAGTGATCAACTAGCGGATATCCTTACTAAACCACTTCCCATAGATCAATTCTTATTTATTAGAAGTGTGTTAGGAATGATTTTCCAATCTAATCTTGCTAGTTTTGGATCCTGAAATTACTTAACCTTGCTTGTGTATTTGTTATTTTTTCCTTTTTTTTGTAATGTTTTCTTTCCTTGTTTGCTTTAGAACCCAATCTGGAAAAAAAATAAAGCTAAAAGTATACATTAGTGTATATAAAAAAAAGAAAAAAAAATATTATCACCGTTGAGAGAGCAGTTTGACTCTCTTTGATTTCCCTTCTAGAAGACTTCGTCGTTCCCACTTTCCATTTCTTCTTCATCCCTGATTTTCGATCAGATCATCCTCGCTGATCTGCTATCCTTTCTTACTTAAAAAACTCGGATTCTTTTCTTACTTCTTTCCTTTTTCCCTTTGCTGATTATGACTTTCGCCCTCTGTTCCGACGACTTCGCCGGTCCATTTCATCTATTTATTATGTATTCCTCCTCTGTATCGAGTTCACCGCACACCTTCTCCAAATCTTTCAACCCCATACCTTCCCTGCCTCACCAAAAATGTGTTTCTCCTCTAAAGACTCGTTTGTCATGATCGCAGACCTTTTTGCCGCCAACAGAAGATTGTTTCATTCACCGGTATGATTCATCCCCAACCTGTTGGCGAGAATCGTCATCTCCAGAGCTTTGCTGAGAAGCGCCCATCCTTCCGATGTGAACACTTGATCATTATGCTTTCGCATTCATCGATTCTAAGAATCCAATCTCGCTCATCGACAACTTGGGTTGGCTCCCAATGGGGGACTCTCCTCCTCGTAGCTACTTCCCAGCTGCATTTCGAGCCTTCTACTCCAATCTACAGGCAAACGAGTTCTCAACGGGGAAGCTCACCACCCTAGTCTTTGATAATCTGCTTACCTTTTCTGTTGATGATCTTACTGCGGTTCTCATTCTGCCAACTCTCGGCAAGCAACTCATATGCCCTCTGGAGTTTTTGTCCTACAAATTTAATTTGCGTCAGAAAGCCACAAATCAATCCTTTGCTGCGTTGGATGACTTACGTAGGCTCCTTCAATACTACATCACACACGTGTATTTTCCGTGCACAGAGATCGTGGTTGTGGTTCTTCCTCATGATTGTTGGATTATGTCCCACGCAGTCTCGAATATGTCATTGAGTTATGCCCACATGTTATTTGGTGCCATTGTTGAGGCTGCTGCCAATGAATCTCCCACGGCGGGTCTGTCTTTTGCCAGGCTGATTACACTGTTGCTTTAGCGTGTGGGCGTTTCTTTGACTGACCTTGTCGTTATCACCAATGATTGTGTTCATCCCACCATCGAAGAAGTAATTTCTTAAGTGGGAATACCCATCTTCATTGATCTAACATCAGGGTGAGATGATTATGTGGAAACGGACGCAGGTACTGGAGAGGGAAGTAATGAAATTGCCAAAGACGAGGCATCCGCGGATTGTGATGCATCTGCTTTGGCCTCTCCTCATCTCTTTAAGATCAAGCGACAGGCCAAAGGACCTCGTCCCTCTAACAAGGTTCTTAAGCATCTCAAAAATTAGAAAACGTCCCAGGAAGTGGTTCTTTATGAGAATCATGATCTTGAGCAGAACAATTGAAAGCCATAACTTAGGGGGAGCAAGTGTTTAAGTTTTCATTTTGGTTCAGGGGATTATCGAGCTATACCTCTTATTAAGTTGCTACTTTTAAGGTTTCATTTGGGCCAGGGGGAGTATCGAATTATGTCTCCTATTTGAGTTGCTGCTTTGTGTTTTGAATGCATTCAATCATGCCCTGATCTATACTCAAGATGAATGATGTAATTTGCTTTATTTTTAGTGACTTGGATGTTATGTGACGTGCAGTGAATGAATGATAATGAGTTTTCTTTTATAATCTCGAGCTTTATGGTGAATGAAGCATATGCACTAAAAGGATGCTAAATTAAGCTTAGGCGAAGATTGTTGAGTCAAAAAGTTTGACTTAGCAAATCTAATATCATAGGATAATTCGCTTTGGATATATGCTATTATGTTGAACTAACAATTCATGCAGAAATATCACAATCAAGGCTAAGGTGAAAGGATTTGCTAGGAAAAGGAAATAAATTAAAGTGATTGCTTGCCCTCAAAGGAGTTACCGTATCAAGGGAAGAGTGTATCAAATCAAGGAGATACTTGCCACATAAAGGACTACAAATGAATGGAAATGAATTCTCACATCCACTATAAATAGTAGATTCATTTGTAGGCTAGAGCAGACATGTCAAGCCCGTTCCACATGGTACTAGCAACTTGAATTTCAGTTTTGTGTGCACAAATGGAATGACTTTGTTGTTGTCTACAAAATGAGATCATGGGCGAGATCTTTATATCCAAGAGTGTGGTGGACTTCACACAGCCAAAACTGCACAAAAAACTGGGCATACGTGCCTCGGGGCTTGTGGTATGCATTAGGATGTTCATTTTGTGGTGTTTCTAGTCTACTTCAAGAGATTTGCGCATTTATCACATGAGTGCCTTTCTGTGAAGCTTACCAGTTCACAAATGAGTTATTCTTTTACCTTAAGATCCCCGTTTGGGGAATGCAGTTCTCCTGATCGAAGGCTTGTCAGTCTCCAATGCCTGGTCTGTTCTCATATCTCGTCCATGTGCACACCTTATTCGAGAAATGTGCACTTAAGAAATAGTGAGAATTCTTGATCACTCTCAATATCTCTCTACAACCAATGCAGGAACAGAATGAACTGAATAATTGTCCTAGTTTCTCTACCTACTAACACTCGAATTACCTAGAATCGGTTGCAGTCATTGTGGAGAGTCACTACGCCCCTCCAACGAACTCTGGATCAGTTTCGTCGATCCCAACAGTGAGGGCGGGCAAGAAGAGCGACGGGAACGATACAGAGGGAGGATGATCCTTCCTCTTGCTACGCATAGTCTTGAGCGATGCAATAGGAGGAATAAGGTGGTTTGCAGAGTACCTCGACCAAGATAGAGGGCCGCTCGGACCCAAGGATTGGTCTTTTGTTTTATAGAATGAATAGGAGGAATAAGGTGGTTTGATGGCGGCGTAAGGTTCACTGGCGGCATAAGGTTCAAACTCGAGGTTGGATTGGGCAACGATGAAGTTCGCCGGAGAAGGAGTGTGATATCGAGGAAGACGAACCTCTGGTGTGCCTTTTCCATCGATTTTTCTATTCCGAGAAAAAAGCAACTGAAAAAAAGCGGAGACTCTTTTGTCTGTTTGGTCACCTACTGCTTAGGCCCGTTCTCATTAGCCACTAGTTTGAACTATTGTTAAATATATCCAGCCCATGCCACATTAGTTTTATGTCGACCAATTAGAATCTGTGTCATTGGTGACACACTTTTTATAGCTCACCGTAGTATTGGCCATAAAACAAACATGCAAAAATCAATACTAGTGTTATGTTTGAAGCAAATTTTGAACACAAGGCCTTTCTGTACGTTGTCCACAAAAAAAGATTCCACCATTCCAGATCCTATTTTTTGAGTAACATACAAGATTTTATGTGTTATATGAAAATTATAATTACATAAGAAAAGCAAAACACTCACCCCAATCAGTAATTATCACGAGTTCAAGCTATTTTTAGAGCCAATTTCTACAACCGCCTCAATTTATCACCATGCTTTAACTTTCCAAACCACAATTCCCACTTCCCACAGCCTCCCCAATATTGTGTCATTCAGTGGCATAGCCACGTTGAGCACAGGATGGGTTATAGACTCACTCAACTTTCCAAAATGGGTAAATTTACTTGCAAAATATGTAAAAAAATTCTAAAAATAGACTAGTTGGTAAGCCATTAGCCCTCCCTCACCAATAACCATTGTTCAAACCACTCAAGTGTATAGTTTTTAGCCTTCCCTCGTTCAAATTTCTGGCTCCGCGATTGGTGTTGCTCTTGGCTTGATTTGCTGATTTCCATTCGCTCAGCGTAGGCGGAATGTAACACCCTACCCTATACGTTTTGCCTAATCATATTGTTCATACAATTGCAGCGGAAATAATCTCGGGTGTTACATTAATTATCAAAATTTACCTAAATAAAATTTCGACATGAATTACTCGCGTAATGGGCTAACAGTTCTTGCAACTTGTCCTGCAAAATAATTCATCACAAACATATATACTCAAACCATATACATGGACTTACATAGCCATAGTCACAGTTTCATACTACACAACTGCATACCGAACTTATACATACCATAATCGTCACAACTTACATAGTTACACAACATATACACATATCATTAACTTTCCACACCTGTGGATATCTCACACTAGATCAGAAGCTAGTATGCACATGAAAAACGTTCTCAAAACATTCTTTTACAAAAAGGTGTGGATCACTGGCCAAAATCCCGAGTAGTAGTCCAAGCACAGAATAGTTGAAGACCATACCTCATCCTGGCTTCAACTCTAGCTCCTCTCCCACCTAACACTTATCTACTGCTGCTGCTGATGATCTGCTTACACATAGCATAAGCAGAGAAGAAGAATAAAAGAGGGTCAGCTCATAGCTGAGTGAGATAATCATAGCATCGTGAGTTCATAACAGAGCATACCCCTACCATACATCTAACAATCAAGCCAAAACACTAGGATCGGACCTCAGCCGTCCTCATATCCCAATAGGCAAAAGACTCAACCACCTTGACTTATGCATATGCATCTTATCATGTTTTACTTATAGGCGCCTGGCTACTCCCATGCTAATAACTCTCCCGGGAAACATACCCCACATCCCGTCGGATGTAGTCATACATACCCCAACATCCCGTCGGATGTGGTCATACATACCCCACACCACTATGGGTGTAGTCATACCCCGACACCGCTCTGGGTGTGGTCATATCTCATAAGAATTCTTCAGTCACCACCACATGAGAGGTGTGACTATCATACATATCATAATAGAGTAATAGCATAGGGAGCCCTAATTACTATGTAGTTGACCGTGAGACCACAACACTCATATTTGGTATCCTTATACATGATTCATATCTCATTTTGCTTAATCATACTTCATTACTTGCACATGTACTTGACCTGGCCACAATTGGCTCAACATAGGTAAATCAGGAGTCGTATAATTGCATTTCCTCGGGATAAACCCTCGTGCAAGTCATCCTCCTTAAACATCATAATATCACCCTGGGAAGTTTATTTTCCCCACTTGTGAATCCAAAAACAACCACAATATCACATCATGTCAAAAGCCCTTATCGAACAACCATAAAGTCATATCAACAGTTAAGCCACAAATGGCAACATGTAGGCAATCATCCATATAAACAAGGTTCATATCGATTAGGGCAAGTCAATAATATCATACAGTAGTCCAGGGTTTATCATATAGCACAAAAGTCCATACACCCCTAATCATGCCATTCTAGTTCACCTAGGTCAATTCTAAGCATTAATATAATTATCGTGATACGACAAACCCGGTATGCCGTGCTAATCCCTCACCAGTTCTGGTCGTTCAAACACCGGTTCTAGCCTCCCATACTAAAACGTCAATTTCACGAACGAACCCCGAATTAAAATCCGAGACCGTCCTAATATCCCCTGCAGTATCCCCGTCAATATTAGTTCTAGGCTCCGGGTCAAATTCTCGATAAAAACACATCAAACCCTGGCCGGAGCTAAATTCAGCGGTTTGGACCCCGGCCTAAATAATAGCCGAAATTCAGGGATTAGAACTAGAGGATTGATTACCTCGCTGCAGGAAGCTCGTATATGAAATTTGGGCTCAATCCGGCTTCCGGATACTCCGAAACCCTAATTTGGCTTATCGAGAATTCAAGAAATTCCTGAACCAAAAACTCGTTTTAAAGCTCTAAATCGATAAATCACGATGAATGGATGAATTAGGCATTACTTACGGGATTTTTGGATCACTGTAGCTCAAGAATTTGAGCTTTGGAAATTCTCCTGGCGATGCTCTGTGCGCCTCTTGCTCGTCTGTTTTTCTCCCGATACGTGAAGAAAGAAAGAAGAAGATGGGAAATGAAACGGTGCTCGGATTTAAATGTACAGGATATATATATATATATAATTAATACGTATACTTATCCGATCGATCAATAATCCGATTTTCGCCGAAATAGTGTCGAAATGCTCGATTTTAAATCGCGAACTTTCTAGCGATCGAAAAATGGGTTTTGCCGGAACGGGATGTTACAATTCTCCCCTCCTTAAAAGATTTCGTCCCCGAAATCTAACCTTGAGTCGTACTCTAACTCCTCTTACTAACCCTTAACATGATCTATCATACATAAAGTCATTACCTAACTCTTAGGTCAGGCAATTCATAACATAGAAAGTAACATATAACACCTCAAGTTCCCATGTTTAGGTTTCAAAAACCTATACTGGGCTATCACAACAAAAGCACATCAACAAGTTCAAAACATAACTTATTAAGCAAGATTGTTAACCTGCAAAGTAGGTTGCTACTAACTCAGGGTACTTCTCTCGCATACTTGCTTCAGTTTCCCAGGTAGCACTCTCACTTTCTTGATTTCTCCAAACCACTTTCAACATTGGGATTTCCTTCCTACGAAGATTCTTAATCTGAAAATCAATAATCTCAACTGGAACCTCCTCAAAAGTCAAATCTGAACCCAACTCGATCTCTTCCGGTTGTATAACATGGGAAGGATCCACTTTGTACTTCTTCAGCATACTAACATGAAATACATTGTGGATTTGGGATAGTTCTGGAGGCAATGCTAACTTATAAGCCACTGGTCCAATCTTCTCTGTGATTTCATATGGCCCAATATACCGAGGTGCAAGTTTCCCTTTCTTACCAAATCTCATTACGCCTTTCCAAGGTGACACTTTGAGAAATACTTTCTCACCCACTTCGAAATTAACTTCACGCCTACTCGTGTCAACATAAACTTTCTGTCGATCTTGAGCCACCCTCAAACGCTCCCTGATTTCCTTGACCTTGTCAACTGTGATCTGAACTATCTCTGGCCCTGAGATTTGCCTTGCTCCTTCTACATCCCAACATAATGGTGTTCTACACTTCCTCCCATAAAGTGCTTCATATGGTGGAACACCCAAGCTACTATGGTACTGGTTGTTGTAAGCAAACTCAATTAAGGGCAAATGGTCAATCCATGATTCCTCCCATTGCATTACACATGATCGAAGTAATTCCTCCAAGGTTAGGATGGTTCGTTCACTCTGCCCATCTGTTTGAGGATGATAAGCTGAAGTAAAATGTAATTTAGTTCCCAAGGCATCATGTAAACTTTGCCAAAACCGAGATGTGAAGCTCGGGTCTCGATCAGAGACAATAGAAATTGGCACACCATGCAATCTGACGATCTCCTTAATATATAGTTGAGACAAAGTCTCCAGTGATGGTTTCCATCTAATGGGTAAAAAGTGAGCCGATTTGGTCAGTCGGTCCACAATAACCCATACTGCATCTTTTCCCCTTGATGATGGGAGACCATATACAAAATCCATTGTGATTCTTTCCCACTTCCATTCTGGAATTGGAAGTGGTTGCAGTTTTCCCACCGGAGCTTGATGTTCTGCCTTAACTTTCTGACATACCAGACATGTGAAAACATGTTCAGCCGCTTCCTTTTTCATCCCACGCCACCAAAAATATGGTTTGATCGTGTGATACATTTTAGTTGCTCCTGGGTGCATAGCATAAGCAGAAGAATGAGCTTCATCTAGGATCTCTTTCCTCAAATTATCAACATTAGGAACACATGCTCTTCCATTCATCTTCAACATGCCATCTACCATTTCAAATGGGCTTTCTTTTCCTTCCTGAATGTCTTGAATGATTTTTACCAACTCTGGGTCCTCCTTCTGCTTCTCACGAATTTTGTCGTGCAACAAAGGTCGAATGTTCAACCGAGCTAGTAACCCTGTCACACCATCCACTTCCAAATCCACATTCATTGCCCTCAAATCAACCAGATCATTTATATTCTTCTTCCCCTTTCTGCTCAGAGCATCAGCAACTACATTAGCTTTACCTGGATGGTAATCAATGGTACAATCATAATCTTTCAACAACTCTATCCATCTCCTCTGGCGACTATTTAAATCCTTTTGATCCATAATATACTTCAAGCTTTTGTGATCAGTTAGAATTTTAAAAGTCTCACCATACAAATAATGTCGCCAAATCTTGAGAGCAAATACCACCGCTGCCAATTCTAAGTCATGAGTGGGATAATTTACTTCATGAGGACGCAATTGCCTAGAGGCATATGCGATAACTCTTCCATCTTGCATTAACACACAGCCCAATCCTTGATACGAGGCATCACTATACACCACAAACTCTCCCTGATTTGAAGGTAGTGCAAGTACTGGTGCTGTGGTCAATCTCTTTTTCAGTTCATCAAAACTCTTTTGACATGATTCATCCCAAACATACTTAGTATTCTTCCTCAACAGTTTAGTCAATGGTGCAGCAATTTTAGAAAATCCTTCGACAAACCGCCGATAATAACCAGCCATGCCAAGAAAACTTCTCAACTCCGACACATCTTTTGGTGGAGTCCAACTCACCACTGCTTCCACCTTTTTCGGATCCACCTCGACACCTCTTCCAGAAATTACGTGTCCCAGAAATATTACCTCCTTCAGCCAAAACTCACATTTTGAGAATTTTGCATATAATTGTTTCTCCCTTAGAATTTGCAACACAATTCTAAGGTGAGTTTTGTGCTCCTCCTCGCTTTTAGAATAGATGAGAATATCATCTATGAACACAATCACAAACTTATCAAGATATTCATGGAAAACTCTGTTCATAAGAGCCATAAATACCGCTGGTGCATTAGTGAGTCCAAAAGGCATTACCAGGAACTCATAATGCCCATATCTTGTTCTAAAAGCTGTCTTTGAGGTTGCCCCATCTGCCACTTTCAATTGATGGTATCCAGATCTCAAATCAATCTTAGAAAAGACTGATGCACCCTGCAATTGATCAAACAAATCATCTATTCTTGGAAGGGGATAACGATTCTTCACTGTCGCCTTATTCAACCTCCGGTAGTCAATGCACATTCTCATGGAACCATCTTTCTTCTTGACAAACAAAACCGGTGCACCCCAAGGTGAGATGCTAGGTCGAATAAACCCCTTGTCTAACAATTCTTGCAATTGTTCTTTAAGCTCCTTCAGCTCAATTGGTGCCATTCTATATGGTGCCATTGAAATTGGTGTTGTGCCAGGTACCAATTCAATATCAAACTCTACTTCCCTTTCTGGTGGAAGGCCGGGAAGTTCTTCGGGGAATACATCAGGAAACTCCCTTACCACCTCTACATCCTCAACCTTCTTATCAATTACTACAGTAACTTGAGCAAGAAAGGCTTCACAACCTTCCTTCACTAATCGAAAAGCTTCCAAGGCAGAAAGAAAACCATGAGTCTCCTTTTTCTTAATGCCTCGAAATACAACATGACCTTTATCTGGTGTGTTAAATAACACTTCTTTCTTTTGACAATCCACAACAGCTCCATGTGTTGCCAGAAAGTCCATTCCAAGGATGACATCAAATTCATCAAAAGGTAGCAGAATTAAATCTGCTGCTAGGAAAGCTCCTTCCACACAAATGAAGGAACTTCTAATAACTGAGTCTACCTTCAAGGTATCTCCCACAGGTGTTTTAACACATAAGGTATAACCTAGCTTATCTGGAACTAAGCGTAGCATATGTGCAAACGTATATGACATGAATGAGTGAGAGGAACCAGTATCGATCAAAGCATATAATTGCTTGCCAAGGATAGAAAGCATACCAGTCACAACTTCTGGTGCCACTTCTGCCTCACCTCGAGTCATTGCATAAACCCTCGGTGCTCCCTGTGCTCTGGTACCCTGCGTACCACTTCCTGATGGCTGATTTCGACCACCACCTCTACCACCCTGTGAACCACCACGACCACTCTGAAATCCACTACGGCCTCCCTGGTAACCACCCCTGAATGGGGCTCTACTCATTTGCACTGAAGGCTCGGACTGTGTAGCTCTTACTTCTCTCGCATGCGGGCAATCCCTCATGATGTGCCCAGGTTGGCCGCAGTGAAAGCATACACCAGAAAATCTCCTACACTCTCCAATATGCCTCTTCTGACAAACTTGACAAAATGGAAATTGTGTGGCTGAGGATATTGGTGCCCTGTATGATGTTCCCGACATAGATTGACTTGGTGTTCTCCCAAAACTGCTAGGACCTCTCCTGGGTGGGTAACGAGGTCCAGCATAATTTACTCCAAACTTCCTCTTCTTCTCCTCTTCTCTGGCCTTGTGTTCCTCTCGGCTCTCAACTTCATAGGCTTCATACTTAAGTGCTGCCTCCTTGATTGTGGCCATGCTCTCTTCATCAACCCTGTGGATCTTTTCTTTCAATCCTATGCGCAGACCATGCAAGTATCTCATCTTCTTCTTATGCTCAGTATCCGCCAACCCATCCTCAAAGTAAAGCAGTCGAACAAACTTGATGGTGTACTCAGTAACTGTCATATTCTCCTGCTTAAGGTTGGAAAATTCATTGTTCTTTGCCCTGATAAAAGCTTCGGGAAGAAACTCTGTCTTAAAGGCCTTCAGAAACTCCTCCCAGGTGAACTGAACTCGTTCACCATTAACTCTAGAGACTGAGGACCACCAGCTCCTCGCATACCCCTTTAGGAGAAAAACAACATATTGCACTTTTTCCTCTGGGGTTGCATAAAGATATTCAAACACATCTTCCATCTCTCTCAACCACTCTACTACAGCATCTGGGCTCACATCTCCCTTAAAGTCCCTACCACCCAAACTCTTCATCTTTGCATAATCTAATACTGGCGGTCTTGCATCAACCGCCCCCACTCCTCTCGACTGGTCAGTAGGAACATTTTCACAACTTCCGTGCGAGCTACAAGGAAATATTGGCCTTAGATTGATCCACACAAAATTCATTCTTCACCAAATCTCTCACTTGGTTAAAACAAAATTTTCCCTAAATAATTACTTGAAAACAAATACATTCAAAACTCAATTTTGAAAACCATGATGCAGATAATTTCATCCAATATACCAAAACACATAATCATGTCAAACTCAATTCCCAGTTTAAGTCATTATGGGGCACTCCCCTCCTTAGGAGTGTTTAACCTCCCATAGGGTATAGTACGCCATAACAACAAAAAGAGGGAACCGGGCTCTGATACCAAACTGTAACACCCTACCCTATACGTTTTGCCTAATCATATTGTTCATACAATTGCAGCGGAAATAATCTCGGGTGTTACATTAATTATCAAAATTTACCTAAATAAAATTTCGACATGAATTACTCGCGTAATGGGCTAACAGTTCTTGCAACTTGTCCTGCAAAATAATTCATCACAAACATATATACTCAAACCATATACATGGACTTACATAGCCATAGTCACAGTTTCATACTACACAACTGCATACCGAACTTATACATACCATAATCGTCACAACTTACATAGTTACACAACATATACACATATCATTAACTTTCCACACCTGTGGATATCTCACACTAGATCAGAAGCTAGTATGCACATGAAAAACGTTCTCAAAACATTCTTTTACAAAAAGGTGTGGATCACTGGCCAAAATCCCGAGTAGTAGTCCAAGCACAGAATAGTTGAAGACCATACCTCATCCTGGCTTCAACTCTAGCTCCTCTCCCACCTAACACTTATCTACTGCTGCTGCTGATGATCTGCTTACACATAGCATAAGCAGAGAAGAAGAATAAAAGAGGGTCAGCTCATAGCTGAGTGAGATAATCATAGCATCGTGAGTTCATAACAGAGCATACCCCTACCATACATCTAACAATCAAGCCAAAACACTAGGATCGGACCTCAGCCGTCCTCATATCCCAATAGGCAAAAGACTCAACCACCTTGACTTATGCATATGCATCTTATCATGTTTTACTTATAGGCGCCTGGCTACTCCCATGCTAATAACTCTCCCGGGAAACATACCCCACATCCCGTCGGATGTAGTCATACATACCCCAACATCCCGTCGGATGTGGTCATACATACCCCACACCACTATGGGTGTAGTCATACCCCGACACCGCTCTGGGTGTGGTCATATCTCATAAGAATTCTTCAGTCACCACCACATGAGAGGTGTGACTATCATACATATCATAATAGAGTAATAGCATAGGGAGCCCTAATTACTATGTAGTTGACCGTGAGACCACAACACTCATATTTGGTATCCTTATACATGATTCATATCTCATTTTGCTTAATCATACTTCATTACTTGCACATGTACTTGACCTGGCCACAATTGGCTCAACATAGGTAAATCAGGAGTCGTATAATTGCATTTCCTCGGGATAAACCCTCGTGCAAGTCATCCTCCTTAAACATCATAATATCACCCTGGGAAGTTTATTTTCCCCACTTGTGAATCCAAAAACAACCACAATATCACATCATGTCAAAAGCCCTTATCGAACAACCATAAAGTCATATCAACAGTTAAGCCACAAATGGCAACATGTAGGCAATCATCCATATAAACAAGGTTCATATCGATTAGGGCAAGTCAATAATATCATACAGTAGTCCAGGGTTTATCATATAGCACAAAAGTCCATACACCCCTAATCATGCCATTCTAGTTCACCTAGGTCAATTCTAAGCATTAATATAATTATCGTGATACGACAAACCCGGTATGCCGTGCTAATCCCTCACCAGTTCTGGTCGTTCAAACACCGGTTCTAGCCTCCCATACTAAAACGTCAATTTCACGAACGAACCCCGAATTAAAATCCGAGACCGTCCTAATATCCCCTGCAGTATCCCCGTCAATATTAGTTCTAGGCTCCGGGTCAAATTCTCGATAAAAACACATCAAACCCTGGCCGGAGCTAAATTCAGCGGTTTGGACCCCGGCCTAAATAATAGCCGAAATTCAGGGATTAGAACTAGAGGATTGATTACCTCGCTGCAGGAAGCTCGTATATGAAATTTGGGCTCAATCCGGCTTCCGGATACTCCGAAACCCTAATTTGGCTTATCGAGAATTCAAGAAATTCCTGAACCAAAAACTCGTTTTAAAGCTCTAAATCGATAAATCACGATGAATGGATGAATTAGGCATTACTTACGGGATTTTTGGATCACTGTAGCTCAAGAATTTGAGCTTTGGAAATTCTCCTGGCGATGCTCTGTGCGCCTCTTGCTCGTCTGTTTTTCTCCCGATACGTGAAGAAAGAAAGAAGAAGATGGGAAATGAAACGGTGCTCGGATTTAAATGTACAGGATATATATATATATAATTAATACGTATACTTATCCGATCGATCAATAATCCGATTTTCGCCGAAATAGTGTCGAAATGCTCGATTTTAAATCGCGAACTTTCTAGCGATCGAAAAATGGGTTTTGCCGGAACGGGATGTTACACGGAAACTCCTAGCAGCCATCTCCACTCTCATCACACCCGAATCCCAATCCTTGTTGATTTTGACATGGAAATGGTGTCAAAACTTGCTACTTTTTTTTTATTTTTATCTTAATAAGTTCTCCAAATGTAATATCTTGCACATTGATTTTCGTTAACTAGATACTTATACTTGATATAAAGACAATTGAGAAGTTTGCAGGGAATTATTGAGCCTTTTTGGAAGATGCATGGTTGTGTCAAGAAAGCATCTGGTGTTTCCATTGGTGTACCGGCTTCTAAAATTGTCGTTGTTGCTACTTGACGTCACTCCAAGTTTTGAAAGAACGTTGTCTACTATGAACTACGCAAAGTACACACTTCGGAATCAGCTGAGTCATGAACAATATTTAGGTAGGGTATATTGAGAGTGGCATCCTTATAATTTAGATGATAAATGCTTTTTAAAATACAAAATCACATCGTAGATATTGTAAAACAATAATAAAAGCTGTGTTGCTATTTTACCTTAATCACATCGTGGATGTTTTAATACTTTAGTACAAAAAGGAATGAGGATAGTATTAGCTTTCGGTTTTGTGTGTTATATAAGAGGGGAGAAAATTACATGGAGATATTTAGCATATTCTGCACTGTAAACTGGATTGCGGTACTGCCCGCATAAGAATAAGAGTAAGAGTCATGAGGAGTGAATGACCCAATGTTGGCCATCCGTTCGGACTTGAAGTCGATTGAGTTTAGCAAACAGATTTACGGCCCTCCACACCCCTCTGTTATCCGCCACAGTAAAATAATCGTGGCCGAAAATGACCCCGCCGGGTCTCAAGATCCGGTAGGCCCGGTTTACATCCGCCCACGCGGAGTTGAAATCATGGCCCGCATCCACCTCGATGAGATCCGCCTGCACACCCCACTCGCACAGCTTCTGGAGCGCCGACCCGCTCGAAAACGGGACGGGCAGGACCGACCCGGTGGCGTTGCTGAACACCGCGTTCTGCATGAACTGGTACAGCAGCATGACGTCGCCGTTCACGTACCTCACGAACCCGAACTTGTCGCCGCGAAACCCGGGCCAGCCGCGGAAGTCGTCCACGCAGAGGATGACCGTGTCCAGCCCGAGTCTCCGAGTCAGCTCGGCCATGTGGATCGACGACGCCCCCAGAAATGTCCCCACCTCGACGATCACCCGGGGCCTCACTTTCCGGATCAGGTTCGCGAATACGGCGCCGTACGAGCCCCACCCCCGGATCGTCTTCTCCCGGAGGAGGCCCGACACGTGCGCCGGCGGGAAGCCTTGGAACGGCGACGTCCCGTCGTACACTCGGTCCAGAACTGTCTGCCGGACGGCTTCCGGCGGGACCCGGCCGGCGCAGCGAGTGGTGACCCGGAATTCGTTGATCATCGTGCTGGCGGTAATAGTAGTAGGAGTAATAGGAGTTGTCCTACTTTCGCTGGTCTCGGCCATTTCGGGTAGTTGAAAGGTAGCGGCGGCGGGTGGTAGTGGAGATACCAAGGGCGGTTGACGTGGAGAGCCACCGTGGCCGGAGGAAGCGGAGAAGTAGCCGAAGAGGTAGGCTAGCAGGATAAGGAGGAAGTAGCCTGCGGAGGAATTGATGAATTTCAACGCGACGAGTCTGGACTTCCTTAGTATGGGGAGAAGACTGTGCAGCTCGTCTTTCATCCTTCTTTTTTCTGTTATTGGCTTCTGGTACTGGTAGAGAGGAAGGTTTTGACGGAAAAGGGTTCAGATCCAAGTGAAAAGGAAGGAAGGAAGGAGTTAGTTGAGAGTTGAGTATGGAAGTAGTTGCTTGATTAATTGGAATACAAGAAGGACTAACGACGAGACAGGGGGAGGAATTAGACGAGAATGCAAAGAGTGTGGAAGGCAAGGAAGGAGTTGGAAAATTTATTTATTTATAATAAAAAGTCAAGTTTGAGGAGTAGTCTAGTCAATATATACAGTGATCGACATTTATGTTGGATGCAAGTTACCCACCTCAACCTTTAAGCACTGTTGCTTAAGCTTCAAACCGGACTGGGCTGGGCTGGGCTTCATTTATAATTACAGATTCGATCGCCTTTGGATGTGAGACCCTGATCTGATCTGCCACAGTTTCCCCCTCAACAGAAATAGTTAAAGTAAACAAGGGGGCACAAAGCCATTTCGTAAGGCATAATTCTTCGATGATCAGATCCGATATATGGATGTCCGCTCATGAAATTTCTCAAGGTATATAGAAACTTCAACATCACGACAACTTTCTGAGTTCGCTTATGTTTCCATAACAAGGGCTAAGATCTAGTTATTAGGGTCCCTTAGTCACATGGATAAGTGAATCTCAGCCCTTACTTCTCATTAAAATTCAATGGCTCAAATTAATCTAATTTAATAAAGGATAATATAGTAATTGCAAATATTATTTTATTTTATTTATCAATTAAAATAAAAAAATACAGCACTGACTACCGTCGCGGGCACTAGCTCCTTCTCCGGCCCGGCGTGATGGTTTTTTTCCCAGTCCCGCCGGCGGTCCTTTTCTCTGACGTCGACGATGTGGCCAAAAATTCTTCGGCGGCGTCCGGCGTGGGCATGTTCCTAGGGGAGGGGTGGCCATTAATTCCATTTTTTTCCCTCCAAAGCTCATGTATGAGAGAGAGAGAGAGAGAGAGAGAGAGAGAGAGAGAGAGAGAGATTTTTCTGGTCATAAATTTTTTTTTCGGCGATCATCGTCGACGGAGATGAATTTTCTGACGACAGTGCCAATTTTGTAATGTTTGTTGACATATTTTGTAATGTTTGTACGCTTTGTTATTTTGTAATGTTTTTAAACTTTGTTATTTTGTGCACCATGTTTATCATTTTTGTCATCCATGTTTGTAATGTTTTTTATGTCTAAAAAACAACCTGGTTGACTTTTGGATGGAACTTCTCTATATAGGGATGGAGCCTCCAAAGTCAACCCGGGTGTTTTTTCCAGTTCGTATGGATTGTCGGTCTAGTTTGTCATTTTTGTCCACCATGTTCGTATTGTTTGTATGTCTAAAAAACACCTGGGTTGACTTTGGGAAGGAGCCCCTCTGTATAGGGATGGAGCCTCCAAAGTCAACCTGGTTGTTTTTTCTTTTTGTATGGTTTGTATTGTTTGTCGGTCTAGTTTGTATTTTTTGTACAGTTCATATGTTTGTAATGTTTGTAAATTTATTTGTATGTTTTGTCGCTCTAGTTTGTACTGTTCGTATGTTTATATGGTTTGTACTGATTGTAAGTCCGGTTTGTATACTTCGTAATTTTCCATAATACCCAAACTACCCCTGTCATTAATTAAATAGCCATTCCCACTTTTTAACCATCAGATTTATGTGTCCAGATCTAAGGGCTGTGAGGGGCTTAGTCAAGTGACTAAGCACCCCCCTAGTCACCGGATCCGCACTCCCATAACAAGACCGGATGTTGAATATAAAAACTTAGTGCTATGTAGCTAAGTGATTGGCCGTAAAAGAAGCGTTGATAAAACAGTTTATTAACTATAATACATAATACATTAATTTATGACTGAATTATTCAATAAAAAAAATACTAATTTGGAAACGAATTTGTTATCAACAATAACTAGTTTCAAATACATATTATCCATTAGATCATTGTCAAATGTTCTAACAAATCTTTTAAATTGTCACCCAAAAGAGTCGTACAAAAAGTGTATCAAATTCAAATTAGTAATTAGAATAACAATCGATAGTGGACCACGTAGAGTTGTCAAGAGGGTTGGGAAACGAATACGATGAAGAAGAATGAAAATTTGTAATTAGAGTTTATGGTTTCTGCTTATGTTATAGTGAACCAATGAACTTTTTTTTATATAAAATAGTGAACCAATGGACTAATCTTAGTCAATTTCTACTTGACCGAATAGGTTACTACACCCTATATGTTAGCACCATACCAACAATAATTAGTATCTGTACTTTGGTAGCTGTCACCCCTCCGCGGCTCCACTCTTATTTTTTCGTAGCTTTAGTTCTTAGTAGCTTAGCATATCCTAGGCGGGAAATAAGGCTACTTGTAGGGACTCATTGCGTTGTCCTGCGTTAGGCATCTCCGAGTTCCCTGCAAAAAAGGTCTGTAGGCGGGGACTGAGACACTCTCCAACTATCAAGTTAGGTAGGGAATAAGAGACAAAATGAGTATATTTGTGAAATAGTTGAATTACCATTTAATGTTGTGTTGAGTCGGTATTTATACCTCACTCACTAGTTGGTGGAGCATTAAATGTTTATGTCAGGCGTGTCATGTACATTCCTCCTAGTATAACACATGCGCTTGCATTTAACGTTGTGTTAGGTATGTCAAGGAAGACATTCCCTTTGAGTGTCCCCCTTGCGGGGCATTTATTGTTGTGTCAACTTGTAACATCACCTCAGCAGTCTGCCAATCTTTGTCTGGGTATTGTGCTTACGAAAGTGTTATCACTGCTCTCGAGTCCCATCAATGATTTCGACTGTTGAAATAGATCCGCTTTGGTGATCACTTATTCTCTTAGTGGCCTTTCCCAATGACGTGGTCTCCCCTCTATGCTTTCTTGCTTTTGTGACCATTTATTCTCTTAGTGAGATTTCTCAATGACATGGGCCTCTCTACAATGGGCTTAGTATCATTCGTGGGTCTTAGTTCAAATGGGCGTGCTCTTTAGCCTAACAGTTGAACCAAAAGCAGGAAAAGCTATAGGTTTTGGCATCTGACTCTTTTCTTGCTCTGGGATATCATGCATTTGACTTTCAACCCCCCCCCCCCCCAAGTTAATAATGTTGCCTCAGAGTCACCCTAACAATATGATTTTCCTAGCATAACCAACCGTCACTTTGTTTTTTTTTACTCTTCCTCCCCTTAAAAGACTCTGAAATTCGCCTGCCTAATAAGTGTTCGTCTCTCTTATTTTCATCTTGGTTTTCTCTTTCTCTCTCTCTCTAATCTTTGTTGTGATTCTGGACTTTTTACCACTCCAACTTTGTTCTGTCGATCTATTTCTTGCCAGCAGCCATCATAGCATGCTACTACCATTACCCTTCTGATGATCATCGCAACATGTCAGGCGAGAACTAGAATCAAAATCCAACGTCTTACAGAGCTCCACCTACTGCCAGCGGTACAGTTCCTTCTGAATCCCTCTCATGCCATGGACACATCGGCCACTCTCTTGATCCCATAATTGCGGTCACTCAAGGTATGCTACATTTCCTCTCTCCTTCGAATGTTTGAGATTATGAGTGCAATTTGGATGGAGGAGGGTTAGAATTTAGGGGTGCCCTATATAATGATGGGTGATTTGTTATTGGTCAAACGGAGGGAAGTTTTTATGAGCTAATTGAAACCTATTTGGGTGTTGCTATGGGCACTGTAGGGGTTAGAGTGGCTTCTTCCACCATCAGGGAATAACCTGGGCGATTTTGTGACGATAAATTTTGCATATATTATTGAGGACAGATGAAGTTTGAATCTCTACCACAACAATAATATTTCAACTATAGGTCAAGCGCAACCTATAATCAGGTGTAGGATAGGATAAATATTTCAATACCAACCCGAATGGACTATCTATCCTTACTTCAGCCATTTACACGTTATCTAACGATCGAATTGTGATTAAAACTAAATAATCTAAACAATCAAGTAGAGTAAAATTTAGTGAATTCAAATGAGAAAGAATCACTTTGACGATATTCCCTCTGGTTCATGTTGAGATGGAATTGTGACATTCTATTGTGTTAGGTAAGTGTTTATATACCATTAGGAGCGTTAAAGTAGCTAGGACACCCTATCTGAGTGCATCATATCCCGCTTAATCAATCTAATAGGAGGATCGTGCCTCATACCCACAAAAGACAATCGAGGCGATCAATTCTACTCCTTCAAGTTAAACCCGGAACAACGCAGAGTAACCAATCACTCTAAATCATGATACTCTACCATAATTTAGGATTGAATCGAATTGCAGAAGGGGATCTTCTTCGTCCTTGGTCATTTTGTCCCAAAATTGGAAGATTTGATCAAGAATACCCAATTTCATGAAAATACCTCAATCACATATATAAATCACAATACTCATTCACAATAGAGTTCACAATCCTACAATCTATGACATATCAAACTAGGGTTCCTACCATACAAGTGACAAGGAGGAATACTCCATAGCTAGAAGAGAAATAGCAACTAGATTATGGGAAAAACCCTTAGAAAAGTTATTCTCCCTCTTTCTATATGCTTGAATTGATACTTGGCCACCAATGGTCTTGGGTAAGTCTATTTCTCCTCCTTTCCTTCCTTGCCCAGATCTTTCTCTCCCTATGCTTGAAGAAGAACCATTCACTCTCTCTATAACTCTCCCCTTAAAATTTAGCTCACTCCCCTTTATATATCTCCCGAATGCGCATATCATAGTTTCACATCACGCTCGTGAAGTCAGTAGTGAAACCGTGATCTTGGCAGAAAACGTGTCGTTTCACTAACGAACTTCATGGGTTGCTTGTTGACTTCACAGTTTGGAGACTGTGATCCTTGCAATGCCCGCAAACTGTAAGTAAGGCTATGGAGGAAATGCAGAATTCACGGTCTAAGCATTGACATTACAGTCAGGAGACCGTGATCATGACACAACCCGCAAACTGCCCACAATCTCCTAGAATTATGCATTCTTCACGATTTGGATGTGATTCGACCCCGCTCACCTCACATAACGTCGCTCGAGGTCAATTTAGATCTCTACATGGACAATGGGTCATGAGTCAATTTAAGAGGTTGAAGGAGAGATTGGGAGCATTCAAGGTGGGAGAAAAGGTCTCTACAAGCAAGGCTTACGAGTTTGTTGATTGGCATGTTATATAACTCTCATGGTCTAAAAATGATGGTCCGAGTACGATGATACAAGCATCACATTGCTTCAATTTGTGAATCAAAATCATGATAAGATGGGTTCGAAAGAAGGAGAAGAGGATTTAGCCTATAAGGGAAACCCATGGTGTGAACACAATGTGTGAAAGGCATAGAAGGTGTGAACAGAATATCAAGTGTGAACACATGCATGAAGGGAGCGGATTTTAAGGCTAGAATTAAGGGTTGAAGAAGTCAAGTTTGTTTCCTTTTCTTTGTAGGACTTTGTTTACTTGTTAGTTAAAGATTTTAGCTTTTATTTTTAGTTGTGGATTCGATTTTTGTTGCCTATAGAGTTCTATGTAATTTTTATTCAGGTTTCGGAGATCAATGTTGACAGTTTATACTCGTGTTCTTTTAAGAACGTTTTCTTAAATCTCCTTTGAGTATTCGGGACGTTTGAGTGTCTCTTATCAACCTCTCGGGTTTGCATAGCTTTCCAACCGTCCGAGTTTATTTTTGTGTTCCGAAGGGCAGAGCAGCTTCAACATCGAGCAGGACGGGAGCACGATTTTAAGTAGGGAATGGTAGCTTTCCTTGCTTGGCTTGTTCCTTTAATCTTGGCTACTTCTTGGCTAACTATTGCAAATTTTCGAAAGGTAGAAAGATTTTTTCTTCCTTCCCGCATTCGTGGTGCGATGCTCGAACGAATTTAAGTGGGGAATATGATAGAGTTTGAGTGAGGCATCAATCAAAGATTTTGAAACTTTCGGGTTGATCCTTGCAAAAGGAATGCCAACTCGCTTTTTTTTTTTACTTTACAGCAGCTCCCTTCATAAACGTCTAAAAGGAGTGAGCGAGTTAACCCCCCGTCTTAACGGAAAGAAAGTTGGGAATTTGGAGAAGTCGTAATAGAATGTCATTCATTTCACCCTTGAGAGGTGCACTGGCGGCCCACCTTTGAGCCAATGCACTATGATCTCTGACAATAACTATCTATCTTTGTGCTTTTCCCCTTGTCGAACATCTCTTTTCCTTATGAGAAAAAAGGATTCAATCATCAAGAAGTATTTCTTCTAATCCACTCATGTTTAGCTTTATTCTTTTCCTCCTATTCCATTATGAATTAAAGTAAGGTGTTACATGTATCAGAGCCTCTCTGCGTCCCTCTTGAACTATGGTGGGGCAAACCTCAGCGAGGGCGTTGGGTCCCAAGGGGGTGTATGTAACACCATAGGCGAATGCCACATCGACAAAGCACGGGAGAGAACACCCCCAATGAAACCAATATGAAGTTGCTCACCAAAAATGGGCCAATTTGGAGAAGAAATCTTAGAGGAGGGTAT